CCTCTCACCCAACTGAAACAGTACCCAAGGATATGGAAATAAATGTAAGTGAAGTGTATGAGATGTTTCTTATAGAACTGCATCTGCAAAATAGTAGGGGCAAAAATCGTGTTGTAGTATCAGGTTATTACTAATCATCTTATGTAGCACCATGAATTTATCTAGAACGTTGCAAAAGAGAGTAAAGCCTGCTCTTAATGTCTTCTTGTCTGCATAAGATAGATTTAAAAATAATTACTAACTAGGGGAACAAAATTTTAGTTTGGGAAGGATGTGGAGTGAGTAGATGTGAGGAAACTATCTAAAGTGCTCAGTCAGTATGAGAGGAGGAGCAAAGTTGAAGACAGGTGTAGATGAACAGAGTTGTCAGAATTAAAAGCAGAGGAAGGAAGAGCAAAAGTTGAATAAAATGAAAGTAGGACTTTTAGGATGGGGACAAGGAGATCAAATGTGATGTGCTAAGCTATTTGAGGGAAATTAAGGAGGGGGGCACTATGGCTGAAGCAGCAGGAGAGGATAACTTGCAAAAAGAATAAAACAAATAATAGCTACCAAATATGGCTGGGAAATGGTTTGATATTAAAGAACTCCAGTCTGTATACAGCCAAACTGTGAAATCTAACATTGAAATTGATTTTATGGAAATTGACAATTCACTATGCTAAGAAAGTGAAAATCTACCATAACTCTTTATGTAGTGCGTTTTGAAAGTTAATTTTGGTAAATCTCAGATGCCAAATTATTATGACCTTTTTGATAATGAGACTAACATGTTATTACTGAACTATGGTATTTTTTGCAACATAGACTTTTTGCAATCTGTAAACTGTTAAACTTTTGTATTAATATTAAATTTTGTTCATACACACAAATCAATTTTACATAGAGGTGAGCATATGGTGTGCTCCTTGAGTACAATTGGTTGATACAGTTGCCATGAATACACTTTATATTTTTCATTTAGATGCACTGTTTTTGAAGAAGCAATCCTGAGACATGAGGTGTTACAGTCTTTTGTCTGTGAAGTCTTGAATTCAGAATATGTTAGGTTCAAAATGATGTCATTTTATAGTTTTTACATCACTCATCACACATAGCTTAGAGTGAGAATTCTAAATATGTTCTGGCCATGCACATTAGTAAGAAATTTTCATTGTATATTTATAACTATATTTCACAACACCACCAATATATTCATCATTCTCATCTGAAGTCTGCAAGTCAAATAATGTTTAAATAGCAGGGTTTCATTTAGTAACGTAGTTTATTTCAAACTCACACAAAACTCTTTTACATATTTATACTCCAGAAATATAGGACTTATCCAGGGCACTTGAATTTTCTGTCATGTGCAAGTTCAGTATTTGACCGTAAGCCTTTGCAAAGACGAAAGAAGAACTGTCCACTTCCTTTTCATTGCGTTACATTGCTTGAGAACAAGTGCTGCTGAGTTGATGGAGGGTAATTAGCAATTAGTATTCAGTATCTGCATCAGAATGTGCCAGTACTGCAGGCCAAAACATCAAAAGGTTTGGAAGAGAGGTATAAAATGAAGAAAGTTAGAGCAACTATAGCGTCTGTTCGTAAATATGACTGACATTATGCTTGTTATCCTGGAGGCTTCACTGTGGAAAGAATGTAGTCAAGCGTCGTTCTGACGTAGGAATAATGACCTTGGCTTACTCTAGATTTCTTTAGGAATAAGAATGCAGAAGATGTGATAGCTGGTAATCATGACATGGAAAATGTTGATCACTAAATAAAAAGTTTAGATTTCAGGAAAAACTTATTCTCCACTTAATTTTACTAGGATAGTTATTATTATTGATGTGTAAAAATTGCCTGACCTATTCAATATGAATTTTTCTAATATGCTGTTTTTTAAACTAGAAACTCAATGGAATAAAACTCTCATTTAAAATTATGTGCAATCTCTTGTTCACATAAACTCTGCCCGCTTGATAATATCTATGGAATAGATATAGCATGCTAAAGCTTTTTCAGATATTTAAAGTGGAACAGTTAATTTGAAAATCATATTTCTTTTAAAATTTTGTGCATTTCTACAAGTAACACCTGAGACAGTGGATTTCAGTGCGTTTACTCTGTGCATCTGACAGCAATTTGTGTAAAGTAAGTTTCAGATTTTCCCATGTATAGTCAGTTTCTCCCTTGAAGAAGACACCCTCAGCCATCAAGAAAAGAGAAGGAAATAACTCCTATTTTTTTAGGAAGGATTTTAAAAATCAAGGCAAACTGTATAAAAGTGCATTATGGAAGCTTGATTTTTTTGATATTCAATTATTTTTAAAAATTCAAATTAAATTTTTATATCTTCATATAGAATTTTATCTACATTTTTTTGGAAAGATTTTCCTCTTGTGCTACAGTTCCAATGTAATGCCATTTATTTGAGGGCAAAAACTTAACTTTAAAATTGCAGTCTTGTGGGAGTATTTTTCAGATTCTTAATAATGTATCATTCCTTAGAATATTACATACATATATTATCTATCGGGAGAGATCCAAAAAGATTTACAGATTATGGGTGTGGTTCAGGCACCAGAGCCCTTTGTAGCAATTCCATTAACTTCAGTGGGAATTCATGAAAAAAAATTTCTTCGATTAGGCTCTTCTATATAAAGGACTCACTTTTACACTAAAGTCTAGCCAAAGATGGGATGGCAAATTTGACTATTTTAAAAAAGAATCCAGTTTCTGATTGCCTTTTTAATAGTATGTTCTGATTTTTTTAAATTAAAATCTTAAGGGTTCTCCAGCAGGGAAGAAGGTGACTGAAAAGTGCAGTCAAATGCACAGTAAACAAACGGTTCTCTAATCTCAAGCCGGTGCATTGGTTTTTATTTATGGAATCAGTTACACCACTTCTGGCAGTCCATGTACTATTTTATTATGGAGAATATTTTATTTAAAACAGAAAACGGCAATGTTTATATAAGACCTGACTTGAAAAACACTGGATTTTGTGATCCAGTTTCACTGTGTGTGTAATGTGGATAACATAGTTGTCCTACAGAGGAATTGAGACAAGTTATTAATGATTGTAAAGTGAGGTTGTTATTTTTTTTTAAATACACACTCGAAGAAGTTTGGATTTGTTTTCACTCTTCTCTCCTTTGTACCTAGTAAGTTTGCTGGTGGTTTAGAAGTGCTCTGCAAAGTGAAAACATGTTTCCATTTTCTTTCTTCCTTTCTGTCAGCAGAGCTAGATATGCTAGAGTGCGTGCTGGTGGGGGTGGAGGTTCTCTCACTATTCAAAAAGGAACAGTCTATTTAACTTCAGGAGTAGAGTTGGCTTGGTCATGATACAGTCCCTCTGGGACAGGGGATGTGATGTGGTGAGATTGCAGCAAGGATATAGGGGAAGTGAGAAGAAATAACCTTCATGTCTTAAGCTTGGTCTATACACAGTTTTAGTACTGGTATAATTATTTGGTATGAGGTGTGATTTATTTATCTATCTAAACCAAAATAGTTAAACCGATACAATTCCTTGTATGGATGCAATTATACCAATATAAAAGTACCTATTACCAGTGGTTCTTAACAAGGGGTATGCATACCCTTGGGGGTACACAGAGGTCTTCCAGGTGGGGTACATCAACTCATCTAGATATTTGCCTAGTTTTACAACAGAGTACCTATAATGCATTAGTGAAGTCAGTACAAACTAAAATTTCATACAATGACTTGTTTATACTGCTCTATATGCTATACACTGAAATGTAAGTACAATATTTTTATTCCAATTGATTTATTTTACAATTTTATGGTAAAAATGAGAAAGTAAGCAATTTTTCAGTAGTAGGGTGCTGTGACACGTTTGTACTTTTATATCTGATTTTGTAAGCAAGTAGTTTTTAAATGAGGTGAAACTTTGGGGTATGCAAGACAAATCAGACTCCTGTAAGGGATACAGTAGCCTGGAAAAGTTGAAAGCCACTGCCTTATACTGTGTATGTGCAGCTTATTTACTCTTCCTGTACAGGAGTAGCTATAATGGTGTAAAACACCTTTATAGCAGGGCAACTGTATCCACACTAGGGAGGTTATATTGTTTAACTATACTAATATTAGTTAAAGCAGTACAACTTTTGAGTATAGACGAGGCCTCAGTATAAGTGTATTGGCTCGGTACATAAAGCAGATTCAATTTCAAATGCTCTATAGACTTTAATTTAGGTTTTGACATTAATTTAAACAAGTGGTTGTGATGCTTCATAACTCTTATGCACTGCACCCTTCTTACATATTGACTAATGTAAAGTTGTAGATACGTGCCCAAACCACCCTTATATATGAACATTTAATATTACATAACAATGGTTTACACTGTATAATGATCTCAGTTTTGTCACTACTTTGCACACTTCACACAGATGAGGGGAGCAGACTTGAATCTCAACCAAATTTCTGCTTTTTAAAGCATACTGTGGCTACTAAAGCGAATATGATATTGGCATCATCTTGTTCCACAGATCTGTTTTCACCTAAGAAGTGTCTTCTTTTAATGACAAATATACATTTTTAATTACTCCTGTTAGTGCTGCTAAACCAGTACAACTTCAGCAGAGCAAGCTATACAAGTTGACTGGTACAGCAATGGAAACATTGGCTTAGTTCTAACTAAGTTCTTAATTAGACCTTCGGTGGATCAGAATTGAAGGTAATGATGTAAAAGCCAAAGAGAACACATTAGTACTTTGAAATCTTGCTGTGAGCTGTAGTTCTGCTGTAATAAAAAACCAAAAGTAACCTAAGAAACAGAAAAATTATATGAAAGCCCTTGAAACACAAACATGGAACTATATGATGCCATTTCTACAGAGTCATGTTTAGAGCATAACCACACTTTAAATTAGTTGCTGGGCTCACTTCAGCAACTGTGGCTATAATTTATTTATATAAATAATATTTCCCCCCAGATATTTTCATCTTTAAGGTTCTAGATGTTAAGAATCTTCTTCTTTCTTTGACAGGAAATTCTGGTGATTAAAGATCATGGCAACCATAGAGGAACTGGCCCATCAAATTATTGAACAACAAATGGGAGAGGTACATATACATACATATATATATATATATATATATTTAGTCCTATTTGAGACAAGTTGGACAATAAAGCGTAATACTGATGTGTAAAGATCAAAGACACAAGAGAGAATGGTCTCTAGTGGGCCCCAAGATACACAAGACCCTCCCGTAGAAGATTAGCAGGAACCCTGTTCTTGCTATCTTCACATCATGATGCAAGACTTGCATCTTTGTCAAAGCATTCCCCAAAGAAACTGAGTTTAAAAAAAGTAGCAGTATTTTCAAAGGTAGAAATCATTGACTAAATCAGTGGTTGTCATCATACAGCTCTTAGTCATATGAGGCAGGCTTTCCTCTCTTCTAGCATCAAAATTGCATTCTGCATACAGTGCCTGAATATTACAGTAATAGGTGCTTTTAGAAATGTATGAATAGATAGTAAAAAGTAGAGTTGTCAGCGTGTGTGTGTATAAATATAAAACACTTAAGGATTCATTACTATATGTCCTGCTCAAAATCAATACAAGTGTGGTTGTGACGTTGTGCAGTCTATATGGTTTTATAAAAACATGATAATAAGTGAATATAATGTAACTGGGATAGTTTTATAAAAATTTGATAAGTGACTATAATGCAAATGGGATATGCTTCGTGCAAAAGGTCTCTTATAAGGTATCATTACAAAGCTTATAATCTACCGAGTATGATCATCTGATTTGTATAAATGTACCACTCTTGTATCTAAAACTAGAAATATAAAACATAACTCTGAGGGCCTATTGTAATTATGTAAAGTGTGGGCCATTAATGATGGGTTGGAATCTTGATGACTCCCATTAACAAGAACCATTGTCTGCAGATGACTGTGTTTACCTGTGAGTCTTCCTGTATATGTGTGTGCTGGCAAGTGAGTAATGAAGTCTTGCAGTGACATGTGATCATGTCACCTGAACTGGAATCCATCTTTAACCTGGTGCTTTTCCAGTGAGGGGGGGTGAAAACCCAGAGGGACAAAGAGTTCCCGCCTTATGCAAAAGATATATAAAGGGGTGGAAGAGAACAGAGAGGAGGAGGAGCCATCATGGAGAAGCCCCTAGCTAACACCTAAGCTGGAACAAGAGCTGCACCGGGGAAAGAATTGTGCCCAGGCCTGGAAGGTGTCCAGTCTGAGAAAAACTTACTGAAGCATCTCTGAGGGTGAGATTATCTGTATTTAGTTTGATTAGGCATAGATTTGCGCATTTTATTTTATTTTGCTTGTGACTTACTTTGTTCTGTCTGTTACTACTTTGAACCACTTAAATCCTACTGTCTGTATTTAATAAAATCACTTTTTATTTAGTAATTTACTCAGAGTATGTATTAATACCTGGGGGAGCAAACAACTGTGCATATCTCTCTATCTGTGTTATAGAGGGCGAACAATTTATGAGTTTGCCCTGCATAAGCTTTATGCAGGGTAAAACGAATTTATCTGGGTTTAGACCCCATTGGGAGTTGGGCATCTGAGTGCTAGAGACAAGCACGCTCCTGTGAGCTGTTTTTGGGTAAACTTGCAGTTTTGGGACAAGTGATTCAGACCCTGGGTCTGTGTTGAAGGGGACTGGAGTGTCTAATTCAGCAAGACGGGGTGCTGGAGTCCTGAGCTGGCAGGGAAAACAGAAGCAGGGGTAGTCTTGGCACATCGGGTGGCAGCTCCCAAGGGGGTTTCTGTGATCCAACCCGTCACAGTGGTTATAAGAAAAATATATAAAAATGGCACCTGTTTACTTGAAATTTCTGCTCTTGGTTAATTTAGATTTGTCTTACTTTACAGTCAAGTGAAGTATTCCAGGTGATTTCACGTTCAATTCATATCCGTTTTAACGTTGAATAGAAAGGTTTTCCTCTTGGATTGCTAATTTTATATATGTTCTTATGCTACCTTCGTCATTGTAGTATGTGTGTGCCTTCCATGGTGCATTAAGTGGCATGAGTAACATCTGTCATGTGTGGTTTATCCTTTCTCTCATCCTCTTCCCAGAGGGAGGTGTGTGTGTGTGTGAGAGAGATTTTGAGGGGTGTTGGCTTATTTTTGTTTGACGGTACACCCTGACTACATGTTTATATTAGAAAAGGCAGGCTGAAGAAACACATTGCACTTCGGAGTGGAAGGTGGTGAGGTTTGATCTTAGCAACTGTGGGAGTTTATTCCACAGTCTTGGCCCAGCCCCTAAGAATGCTCCATTTCCTGAACAGACAGGCTTTATATGGTAGCAAGTTCCCTTGTGTCTGAGGGATGGAGATGTTGACCTCAGTCTTCATCCAGGTGCTTTAGTCAGTCTTTTAGATATCCTGGGCCCAGGCCATTGAGTGCCATGAATTTAAGGATTGAGACTTTGCATTTGACTCCAAAATTCAGTCAGTCTGTGAATTTTTAAAAATTTTTAAAAAAATCTCTCATCCCTGACCCATCCTTTTCACAGTAGCAATAGTTTATATCCAATTCAAAAACAGCAACAAAAGTCAAACTCATACTCAACAGATGGGGAGAGAGAAAGCCAGCCACGCTGCTTGTCTCTCTCCTTTTCTTCTTCTGTGGAGAGGCCACTTTAATTAGAATAACAGGCCCTATTTGCTCTTCCTGACAGAGTCCTGGCATGCTATTCTGTCAGTTCTTGTATTTTAGTTTGTTTAGTAAGAACACACCTGTCTTCCTTTATCCCACAGTTAAAGTAGAGGAAGGGAAGCAATTGTGCTGTTTGCACCACAGCTAGTAACCTGTTTTCTTAAACTTGTGTGGGTTTGATTGCTTTGGTGTGCGAAATAGGTGGAACTTATTTCTGACCCCTGACGTATTATCAGTAGGTCCAAACAGGCTTATACATTGCTGCTACAGCTTCCCTTTGTGAAGACCGACTTCTAGCATAGTAAGCAGGTGGTGCTGAAAACATTATTTTCTAGAGGATTTCCAGATACTAATAACTTAACCTTTTATTGTCCAGTTTTTAACTACCACTGTTAGATAAAATTATTGAGAAAGTGGTATTGGTGCCAATATAAAAGAGCCTAGATCTACTGAAGAAGCTTCAATTATGTCTTGATCTCATAGGTGTATCTTACCAGTCTGGAGTCTGATGTGACTAGTATGGAGACTGTGTTGTTATCTATGGCTGACTACCCACTACCAGTGAATGACACAAGTAAAATTTTCTTATGCCCTTTTAGACCAATTAAATTAATGGAGATATCCTATCTCCTAGAACTGGAAGGGACCTTGAAAGGTCATCGAGTCCAGTCCCCTGCCTTCACTAGCAGGACCAAGTACTGATTTTGCCCCAGATCCCTAAGTGGCCCCCTCAAGGATTGAACTCACAACCCTGGGTTTAGCAGGCCAATGCTCAAACCACTGAGCTATCCCTCCCTCTTGATGATGTGGCCAAAAGAGCGAAGGCACTCCTGGGATGGGTTTGGGCACGTATCTACAACTTTACATTAGTCAATATGTAAGAAGGGTGCAGTGCATAAGAGTTATGAAGCATCGCAACCACTTGTTTAAATTAATGTCAAAACCTAAATTAAAGTCTATAGAGCATTTGAAATTGAATCTGCTTTATGTACCGAGCCAATACACTTATACTGAGGCCTCGTCTATACTCAAAAGTTGTACTGCTTTAACTAATATTAGTATAGTTAAACAATATAACCTCCCTAGTGTGGATACAGTTGCCCTGCTATAAAGGTGTTTTACCTTTCTTGACGAAGCAGACAAGAGTGAATTGATCAAAAAGGCAGTAGCAGGATATGAGAAGCAAAGCAGTGTTTTTAAATGCTTAAGTGTAAGTAAAAATCAAGCCACAGAAGGAGGTTACAAGATTGCACAGTGCATTGCAAAAAATGGAAACCCATTTACAAATGGGGAATATAAAAGAAGTTTTTCTCAGCAGTTCGGGAGGTTTTGTTCAATGATTTGCCAAATAAATATGTGTATGTAGAATAAAAGAACTGCCTGTCTCTGCCAGAACAGTTGAGAGATGCGTAAACGAAATGGCAGAAAACATTAACGAAAAGCAGACGACTGCATTAAAAGAAACAGCAGTGTTTAGCGTTGCAGTTGATGAGAGCATGGAGATAAACGACGTTCAACATTTGGCAGTTGTTGCAAGATGCTTCTGATGAAATCCAAGAGGAGCTTTGTTGCCTAAAACCCCTGTATGGCACAACAAAGGGGGAAGATATAGCAGAAACTTTTGTAAACCATTTTGAAGAACGAGGAGTTGACATCAGGAAAATATTTCGTATGACAACAGATGGTGCTCCTGCCATGATCGGAAAGCAGAAGGAATTTGTAAAGTTGCTTGAAGATCAAATTGGCTGCCTGACAGTCAAATTTCACTGTATCATCCATCAAGAAAACCTGTGTGCTAAAATTTCTAATTCAGAGCTTAATAATGTGATGAATACAGTGGTACAAATTGTGAATGTCCTTGTTGCTCGATCTGCTTTGACTCACAGACAGTTTCAAGCACTGCTAGAAGAGATGGACATTGCTTATAATGACATTCCACTTCATCGGCACTTTTGGTGGCTAAGTCATGGCAAGGTTTTGGTGCGCTTTGTAAACTGTTTTGATGCAATCAAGGCCTTTTTGTTGGAAAAAGGACAAAACTACCCCAACTGGATGATGACAAATGGCTGTGTTAGCTCATGTTTCTAACTGACATCACCGCTCACCTAAATGAACTCAACCTCCATCTCCAGGGTGCAGGGCAAACGGGTTTGGATCTTTATGAAGCCCGGAAGGCATTTGTTGTAAAACTAGCAGTTTTTTCTTGGGATATTCGAACTTCAACTTTCCACTACTTCCAACACATAAAAGAGCTATCAACACGTTGCACTGTCAGTGTCAGTGAGATTGGAATGTGCATGCAAGAACTGGAATCAGAATATTCTGACAGATTTCAAGATTTCCAGCGATTTGGCCCAATGCTTTCTTTTCTAATTAAACCTGAAAAGTTCAACGAAAGCGACTTGGATTTGGCTATATTTCAGTGGATGGGTGTTGAAGATTTCGAAATGCAGCTCATTCAGTTAAAAAGCTCAGAATTGTGGGCATCAAAGTTTGGAGATCTGCGGAGTGCACTTAAAGCTACCGAGAGAGTCGTGGGGCCTCTATTCTGACCTGCCAGACATCCCTGCCAGTGAAATTTAACTGTTTGAAGAAAATAGCGTTTGCAATGCTTTCAGCATTTGGATCCACGTACCTGTGTGAACGGGTATTTTCACACATGAAATCTGTCCTCTGTCCCTTTTGGAGTCGGTTAACAACTGATCACTCAGAAGCCTGTGTGCAGCTTAAAGTATCCAAATACATGCCAGACATTGGAAAACTCAGCAAGGAAAAGCAAGGGCAAGGATCACACTAAACTGATGAGCTCTGCATTTTAATTTAATTTTAAATGAAGCTTCTTAAACATTTTAAAAACCCTATTTACTTTACATACAACAATAGTTTAGTTATATATTATAGAGAGAGACCATCTAAAAATATTAAAATGCATTACTGGCACACGAAACATTAAATTAGAGTGAATAAATGAAGATTTGGCACACCACCACGACCCATGCTTTAGAGCCTACAAGTCCACTCAGTCCTACTTCTTGTTCAGCCAATCAATAAGACAAACAAGTTTGTTTACATTTACGGGAGATCGTGCTGCCTGCTTCTTATTTACGTCACCTGAAAGTGAGAACAGGCGTTCACATGGCACTATTGTAGCCGGTGTTGCAAGGTATTTACGTGCCAGATATGCTAAACGTTCATATGCCCCTTCATGCTTTGGCCACTATTCCAGAGGACATGCTTCCATGCTGATGATGCTCATTAAAAAAATAGTGCTTTAATTAAATTTGTGACTGAACTCCTTGGGGGAGAATTGTATGTCTCTTGTTCTGTTTTACCTGCATTCTGCCATATATTTCATGTTATAGCAGTCTCGGATGATGACCCAACACATGTTCATTTTAAGAACACTTTCACAGCAGATTTATAGAATCATAGAATATTAGGGTTGGAAGAGACCTCAGGAGGTCATCTAGTCCAATCCCCTGCTCAAAGCAGGACCAACACCCACTAAATCATCCCAGCCAGGGCTTTGTCAAGCCGGGCCTTACAAACCTCTAAGGATGGAGATTCCACCACCTCCCTAGGTAACCCATTCCAGTGCTTCACCACCCTCCTAGTGAAATAAACGTAAAGAAGGTACCAATGTGAGATTTCTAAAATTAGCTACAGCACTCAACCCAAGGTTTAAGAATCTGAAGTGCCTTCCAAAATCTGATCAGGACGGGGTGTGGCGCATGCTTTCATAAGTCTTAAAAGAGCAAACCCTGATGAGGAAACTACAGAACCTGAACCACCACCAAAAAAAGAAAATCAACCTGCTGGTTGCATTTGACTCAGATGATGGAAATGAACATACATCGGTCCGCTCTGCTTTGGATCGTTATTGAGCAAAACCCATCGTCAGCATGGACGCATGTCCTCTGGAATGGTGGTTGAAGCATGAAAGGACATATGAATCTTTAGCACATCTGTGATGTAAATATCTTGTGACGCTGGCTACAACAGTGCCATGCGAACTCCTATTCTCACTTTCAGGTGACATTGTAAACAAGAAGCGGGCAACATCTCCTGCAAATTGTAACCAAACTTGTTTGTCTGAACGATTGGCTGAAGTAGGACTGAGTGGACTTGTAAGCTCTAAAGTTTTACATTGTTTTATTTTTGAATGCAGTTTCTGTTGTACATAGTTCTATATTTGTAAGTTCAACTTTCCTGATAGAGATTTCACTACAGTACTTGTATTAGATTAATTGAAAAATACTATTTCCTTTGTTTTTTACTGTGAAAATATTTGTAATCAAAAATAAATATAAAGTGAGCACTGTACACTTTGTATTCTGTGTTGTAATTGAAATCAATATATTTGAAAATGTAGAAAACTTACAAAAATATTTAAATGGTATTCTATTATTGTTTAAGAGCACGATTAATCATGATTAATTTTTTTAATCGCACGATTAATCGCAATTAATTTTTTTAATCGCTTGACAGCCCTAATCATAATTGAATTGTGCCAAATAATTGTTTAATCCATCAAAAGTACTAGAAATAGTTAAAGCCCTGTGTTGTATACATTATACTTGACTTAGTGTATGTGGAACTTTCACCAGTCCAGTTAGTATTGTGTTTGTTTGTTTTTACTTTAAATTCAAATTACTTTACATTGCCTCCAAATTTTAAATTTAATGTGCTGCAGATTTTTATACTGAAAATGAGTAAATGACTGGAAGAATTTGTCAGGGGAAAGCTGAGGGTTATAACAGCTGAGTAGAGAACAATTGGCACTCAAGGAGATGTGCAAGGTGGCTTTGATTTTTTTATTTCTGGGAGGCAGTTGAGGAAAATGGTATTGGAGAGGGGATGCATCTCGTCTTTCTCTACTACTTTTGAGCAGAAGCAGGTGCCTTAAAATTTTGAGGGGAGGAGCTGAGTTTCCGTTTCTTAACTTCTTGAATTGTTGGAAGTAAAGAAACATCAAATTTGGAGACCTACATGATACAGAGTGCACACATGAAGTAGGATATCAAAATTAAGATGGCGAAAGGTAAAATACCATTATTTTTTTCCCCTCTCTCTTTACTCTTCTTGTGGTGTCTCTCGCTATCCTTCTCTTTTGATCTTTCTTGTTGTTTCTCCTTTTCACTGCTTTAGCTGACAGCTGAACAGAAATGGAATAACACTGTGCTTCTGCATATAAGTGCTTCCATCAGTTCCACTGAACCCTTAAGTTAAAAGTGCTTCCATGCAAAAGCATGTCCCTACTATAAAATCATAGAATTGTAGTACTGGAGGGGACTTCGGGAGGTCATCTAGTCCAGTCCCCTGCACTCACGGCAGGATTAAATTTTATCTAGACCATCCCTGACATAGAATGAATATAAACAAATAACACAAGTATGGAGGGACAAAATTAGAAAGGCCAAGGCACAAAACAAGATTAAACTAGCTAGAGACATAAATGGTAACAAGAAAACATTCTACAAATACATTAGAAGCAAGAGGAAGACCAAGGACAGGGTAGGCCTGTTACTCAATGAGGGGGGAAAACAATAAAAGAAAATGTGGAAATGGCAGAAGTGCTAAATGACTATGATTCATTTATAGCTATCCATTCTTGCAGATACCAGCTGGAACAAACAAGAAAATAAGCAGCTTGATTAAAGCAGCTTGTATTCCGTATGTGTTTATCGACAATTCATTTCCCCCAGTCATGTTTTGCCATAAATATATTTCTGATTTTTGGATCCAAAATTGTGAAATGGCTTTAAAACTGTGGAACCAGTAGAACGCTCTAAAGTACAAAAGCTAGCTAGTAAAATTAGGTTGTACGCTGCTACATTCCCAAACAATACCAGTGTCTCACTTTGAATAATATTTTGCTGACACATCTGAAGCTGGTCAAACCTTAATGTGGCACAGCAGTATTTTCACATAGCTGTCATTCCAATTATTTATTTGTTTGTTTCTAGATTGCGCATTCCCAAGGAACTGTTACTCAAACACTAATGGATGGGACAGCACAAAGAATACAAATTGTCCCAGCGGATTCAGGTCTCTCTTTACCACAACGCATACAAGTATGTTTAATCTAAAATATTTTGAAAGAATCTGTGAACTACTTTACTCTGCCTGTTTTTGTGCACCCTTCCTTTTGTGAACATTTAATGATCTCTTCTAAATTGTGAAAATTTTACCCAGAGGAAGACTCCTTCTGTGTCTAATGGAGGTGAAGGACAGTAGGGGTGGGGCTTCACATTGTTTCTTGCTTTCTAAGATGAAGAGTTGCATAAGAAGCACTTACACAAGTGCCTTCTGTGACATTCTAAGGGCTTGGCTACATTTGCGAGTTAGAGCGCATTAAAGCAGTCCCGGGCGCCCTAGCTTACTACCTGTCCACACTGGCAAGGCACATATTGCGCTCTGACTCCAGGGCTAGAGCGCTTCTGGTACTCCACCTCAGCGAGAATATTAACGCTTGGTGCGCCTTGGCTGAAACGCCCAGGTGTCAGTGTGGACGACGTGTTGCATTACTGCGCTCTGATCAGCCTCCGGAAATGTCCCATAATCCTCTTAAGTCAAAGGGCCACTCTTGTCATTGTTTTGGAATCACTGCAGGAATGCGGATATGCCCTTTGAAAGTTCCGTTTCTGACATCCGGCATGCTTATCTGCTCCAAGACAAAGCAACCATTACTGTGGAATGCTATGTGTGAGAGAGAGAGATGGGGGGGGGGGGGAGACGTCTGCTGCTGTCTGAATTTATAAGACAGTATGCTGACATGCTCTCAGCCCCCCAAAAACCCACTCTCTCTCCCCCCACATACACACAACACACTCCCTGTCACACTCCACCCCACCCCACACCATTTGAAAAGCACGTTGCAGCCACTTGAATGCTGGGATAGCTACCACGATGCACTGCTCTCTGTGGCCATTGCCAGAGCTGCTAATGTGGCCACGCCAGTTCACTTGCAGCTGTCAGTGTGGACAGATTGCAGCGCTTTCTCTACTGTGCTCTACGAAGGCTGGTTTAACTCAAAGTGCTCTACATCTGCAAGTGTAGCCATGCCCATAGTCTCCTTTAGCCAGTAATTGAAATGATATGGTTGGAGTCCAAGCTGGCTACGAGGCTTCTTCTGTGTTTAAAAAAAGCAAAAAGGGTACCTAGTCTCTACTCCAAGAGACTCACCAAAGAGGTGATTCAAGCTGTTACAAGGCATAACATGGTAACATTGTTAAAAGGCTGAGTTATTTTTACATTTGGTAATTCAGCAGATACATTTGAAAGGCTCTGTGGTGTATCTTTGGAAAATACTTGTAGATCATAGCAAGAAATATATTTTTCTTTATATTATCAATACACCATGAAAATGTGTTATCGGCCCACTTTTAAACCGTATTGGTAGGGAATTTTTTTATTGGTTACACTGAGAAAAATCCCCCACCTGAGTAGAATACCTGATAGTGTCCATATGACGTGTTCCCCCCTCCTCCCTTTTTGTATTTCACCTTAAAAACTTTTTTGTAACTAATTTTCTCTGTAAGATGCCATATTGCATTAAACACATTCAATTAAAAATGTGGCTGCTAGGGTCATTTTCCTTGCCTGTTGCTCTGACTGCAACACTCTCTTCAAATTCCTCCACTGGCCCTGCTTGTTCCACTGCATTTTGCCCTGTTTCTTGTCCTAATCCTTCAAGACCATTCACAGCTCAGTCCCTCGCTACATGTCCTCTTTTGTCACTTATTACATCTGCCCCTGCTTCCTCTGCTCCACGAACAATACAAGCCTAACTACTCATCTTCAGCTGTCTCTGTGCTATCTTCCATGCTAGCCCTTATTCATGGAACACCTTTCTTAATTAATCCATAACCCTCTGCTCCTTTCCCTCTCTCCTTAAAACCTGCCTTTGTTTTTATGCTCATGTAACGTGATGTCCCTAACTTGGTTGTCAGCATTAGAAATTGTACCTGGGACGACCCCAGGGGAGGGATAGTGCAGTGGTTTGAACATTGGCCTGCTAAACCCGGGGTTGTGAGTTCAATCCTTGAGGGAGCCATTTAGGGTACTGAGGTGTAACAAAAAACTGTCTGTGGATTTGTCCTGCTTTGAGTAGAGGGTTGGACTAGATGATCTCCTGAGGTCCCTTCCAACCCTGATATTCTATGATCTACTGCCTGATCTAAAAGACTAGTTCTGTTATCTCAAAGCCTGTAGCAGACTCATAAACCTCTATTGGTATTTGAACCTAGAGGGTCAGGTGGGCTTGGACTTGGGTGGCTAGCCTGAGGCACTGCCTGTGCAGCAATGTGCACAGTGCTGTTTTTAGCACACGAGCTCAAGCAGAGCTAGCATGAATCTGTCTACCCGTGCTGGGAGTCACGCCTCCCATCTGTAGAGTAGTCATCCCTGTGTGGTTCATCCACTAGAGATAAGGCTCTGTGTTTGTCATGGAGATCATGGAAGTCACGGATTCCGTGACTTTCCCTGACCTCCATGACTTCTGCAGCGGCTGGTTGCCTGGCCCGGGGGCCACCTGAGTAGCTCGGGCAGCCCCCAGGCCAGGCTCACCAGCTGCTGCTGGAGCAGTCTCTCCCCATCCCAGCAGCAGGATTCTTGGGGGAGTGGGGGGAGCTCAGGGCTAGCAATTGGGGTGCGGCACAGTGCTGACCAGGAGGGGGAGACTCCCCTCCCTCAGCTCCTAGCTCCACATGCTGCCTCTGCTGGCAGGCACCGCCCCCCCAGATCCCATTGACTGCAGTTCCCAGCCAATGGGAGCTGCAGAACCGGGGCTTGGGGCAGAGCGGAGGCAGCACGTGTTGCTCGGGAGCCAGGTAGGGAGCCTGTCCCAGCCCCACCAACCCTCCCCCACAAGCACCTGCAGCGCCCATCCCAGCCATGCCCCCCCAGCACCTGTGGTGCCCCCCGAGCCACACCCTCCCCTTCCTGCCCCCCCCCCCGAGTTTTAGTCAGGGGTGTATAGTAAAAGTCATGACAGGTCATGGGCTGTGAAGTTTTGTTTACTGCCCATGACCCGTCCGTGACTTTTACTAAAAATACCTGTGACTAAAACGTAGCCTTAACTGGAGAGGAACAGAGAGCCACACTTTGTAGGAGTGAGTTATGCCTCCAATAAATCAGTCAGCCAGTACAAGTTTGGTTACGTGTCATGTTGGGGGCTTGGCGGCGGGGGGGAACAGGAGGGTTGTGTTTAAAAAAGTTAAGTATTTTCTGTAACCTTCAAATTATACAGTAGCTATTTAGTGTAGCTGGGTGATGTTCTTTTTCTGTCTCCCTCACCTCTTCCTTTCTCTGGTTTGTCACTCTCACTTGTTGCATCTTCTCTCTAATTAGACTGTAAACTCTTTGGATCAAGGACTGTCTCTACTATATGTTTGTAAAGCACCTAGCACACTGGAGTCTCTAGGCATTACAGCAGTACAAACAATAATTAGTAATAAGAAATAATTGGAGCTGGTTGAAATTAGTTTTTTTCCATTGAGAAATGAAGTTTTGTTGAAATTGAAATGTTCTGCAGGAAAGTATCAAATTTTGGTAAAATCGACAGGCAAAAGTCCAGATGATTTGTTTTGACTTTATCAGTTTGTTTTGGTTTTACTTATATAAAAATATATATAGTACAAGAAATAATGTAATAGAATATAAAAAGCTAAATAATATTTTTACACCCTTGAAACACCATAGAAATTAAATGTTTTGATTGTCCCAAACTGAAATTTTTAAGAATTTTCATTTTGTGAGAAACTTCAGAAATTTTTTTTTAACTGTCAAAAATTTCCCATGGGATGGAAATTCTGGTTCCCAACCAGCTCTGTAAATAATATGTCAAAATAAAATAAATTGTATTGAAATAATCCTTTACATTTGAACACATTATTTCCTAAAACAGGCACACTGAATGACTTATGTATGTCGCTAGTTTATTCATAGGGCAGTTTCACAGATGGGTTAAAGTACTGTCCAAATGGAATCCAAGGTCTCCAAAGAGAAAATATTGTTAAAAAGCAGCTTGAGGCTATAAAAAGCAGCCAAGAGAAATTTAGGCTGGAATACTAGAGAGATGTGTAAATGAAACATTACATGAGAAAACATATATTTTAAACATAAAACAATGAATAATTTCCATATTTAATGAAATGAATACAAGGGCAATGTTCAGTTTCAAATAATTAAGAAATATATTGTTATTGAACTCTGACAAATTTACAGTAGAGGACTACTGTGTTAAGGTTTTATTCTGGTTATTAGATGTTCAGGTCATGATACTGCATATTGTTCTGCTAGGGTGGACCCCTGCGCCCAAGCAGAGCCTCATTGACTTCACTGGAGTTCTGTGCAGTTGCAAGGATCCCACGTGGAATAAGTTGTGGGAATGACACTTTTCATTATTAAAACTGTCCTTGTGTATAATACATTTTTCATTTGCCAAATGTTTAAGGAGTAGGGTTTGCAGAGGGGAGCTTTTGTCTAGACTTAGTGTTCTTGTGTAAACATTAAAGTAACATATGGTAGAAATCTATTAAAGTACTGATCATGCAGTGAGATCTGCCTGGACAGATCCCTGCACCCCTGGGGAGCCCTATTCAAGAATTGGGGCCATATTCACAATAACAATTTGTGAGTTAGCAAGCTGGTAACAAAAATAGAGGAAAAAAGCAAACATGCATCATAAAATGCACCTCTGTTCATTTATTTTGTCAGCTTTAATTTTTTATGATGATGCTTTATAGCAGTGGTTCTCAAACTAGGGCCGCCGCTTGTTCAGTGAAAGCCCCTGGCGGGCCGGGCCGGTTTGTTTACCTGCCGCGTCCGCAGGTTCGGCCGATCGCGGCTCCAACTGGCCGTGGTTTGCCGCTCCAGGCCAGTGGGGGCTGCAGGAAGGGCAGCCAGCATGTCCCTCGGGCCGCGCTGCTTCCTGCAGCCCCCATTGGCCTGGAGCGGCGAACCGCAGCTAGTGGGAGCCGCGATCGGCCGAACCTGCAGACGCGGCCAGTAAACAAACCGGTCCAGCCCACCAGGGGCTTTCCCTGAACAAGCGGCGGCCCTAGTTTGAGAACCACTGCTTTATAGGATATTAATAAATGTACTTAGTAATGTAAAGTGCCTACCACACCTTTGGGCACTACAGAAATAATGCTGTAGTATATTTTATAACAATAATAAAATCCTAGCAATAATAAGGCCGCTTTTGTAAATTTTAAGTTGTTTATTACTGTGTAAGAATTGAGGAACATTGCAGATTTAGATAACAAAATGAAAACTTCCCCATTACCTACCATACCTCTCGCCCTCAAACACACATGCACCTTTTAAAAGTATGGAAATAAACTATAAAACTACGGTCAGTAAATATTCAAATACACTCAGTCTCTTAAATAAACATGATACACATATTTGAAAAACAATGTTAATCCTGCGCAGATTTGTAAATAAGTATTTTGAACTTAATGGGTTGTTGAATTAGCTTTTTCTTTAGAATTTTGTGGTATTTTACTGTATCTAAAGTTTAAAGGTTTACAGTCAAGCTAGAGGTGTCTATGCATAGCCTTCACGTACAAGGCTATAGATCAGGGAGCGCTTCTCTACTCCTGTGCACTCGACTCAATATTACGTGGCACCAGTGGATGTCCCCCAGCATCACATAGCCTTCTGAATAGTGAAAAATGGGGATGTATAAAATTTCTATTTATATATATATATATATATATATATATAAAATGAAGAAAGTGTATTACCAAGTTTGTCAGAAGATGATAAACTGTGCAGTTTAGTGAGGGGCAAGTCAGTGAGGCTCTACTACAGTCTTTATTTAAAAATAGGAAAGAAATGCCGTAATGATGCTGTTGATCTGTTCTTGATTGTCAAATGAAGAATAAAGCAAAAGAAGTTGTTTTTGTTTGTCAAACAAAGAAAAAAAGGTGGCAAAGAGAAGGGTTAGTGTTCAGTTCTCCTGCTTCAGTTTGATTTTTCTGTATGTGGGTGTAAAAGTGTTAAACTAAGGTATAGTCAATTGAAATAAGATTGTTCCTTGCCCTTATTATTCTAAATTAATGAAGCCAACACTGAAGTGTACAATGTGGGATTAGGCGATGAAGATAACTCATTAAGGACCTACACCTGTGAGGTGCTGAGTGTCACTTTGTGGTATGCTGTGTTCTCAACTCCCATTGAATTAAGTGAGAGTGGAGGGAGCTCAGCACTTCACATGACTGATTGAGCCTTAACATTTATATCCATATTTTGAACACTTCATAATTCATAGCTGTTAGGATCTGAGGTTTTTGTTTGGCCCTCTGTAAAAATATGGGCCACTTGCAAAATTTGAATGTGTATTCAGGTTCAGAGTTCAAACACTACTACAGTTTGGGGATTTTTAGATTCAGGGTTTTTGCTTGAATTTAACTCATTAAGAGGCCCAGTCCTGCAACCACAGAAGTCAAAGGCAAAACTCCCATTGACTATGATGGTGCAAGATGGGGTGCTAGAAAAACATTAACTTGAAAGACCATAACAATTTGAGATAAATGTATTATCAGATTGTCACAGACCAGCAGACGGGCCAGAAGATTCAGATTGTTACTGCACTTGATCAGAGCACAGCAGGCAAGCAGTTCATCTTAACAAATCATGATGGCTCTACCCCAAGCAAGGTGATCCTTGCCAGACAAGATTCCACTCCAGGAAAGGTTTTCCTAACAACTCCAGATGCTGCAGGTGTCAACCAACTGTTTTTTGCATCCCCCGATTTATCTGCACAACACATCCAGGTAGAGAATCCACTTTATTTCATAATATTAATTCAGATGAGATAGGACAGGGGTTCTCAAACTGGGGGTTAGAACCCCTCAGGGGGTCACAAGATTATTACATGGGGGATCACGAGCTGTCAGCCTCCACCCCAAACCCCGCTTTGTATTCAGTATTTATAATGGTGCTAAATATATTAAAAAGTGTTTTTAATTTATAAGGGGGTCGCACTCAGAGGCTTGCTATGTGAAAGGGGTCACCAGTACAAAAGTTTGAAAACTACTGGGATAGGAAGAGATGTTTTTCTTTCCAAATATTTTCTGTGCTGGTTCTATATTTTCAGTCTTTTTGCTGTTTACATTTCCCTGATAGCAAGACTTGGAGGTGTTGTTTAGAAACAATGAAGAAAATGATTTGTTCCTGGAAAGCTGTTATTTTTGAATTTATATTTCATGAGTCAGGATTAAAAAAATATAAATGTGTAGTTTTATTTGTACTTTTCAAGCCAGAACCTTCTTGTCTCAGCTCCTGCGATAGACTTTTTGTATTTCTGCCTCATTGTCTCTCCATCTGTTTTAAAATATCATTTGAATACCATTTTCTCCCTTGCCTTTTCTTCTTAATATTTCACTCCTCTTGCTTTCATTTTATTTGCCATTGTAATTATTATTTAACTGAGTAAACAATTGTTATCTTAGACAACATGCAGACAAAGGAGGTGGGAAGGGCAGGAGAGAGCATCAATGAGATTAAGTGGTGAACTTCAGCCTGTGTTTTGTAGTGTCATTTTTTGTATTTTTTTTTTTTTTTTAAAGTAAAGCCCAACAAGGGTAAGTGTCAGTTAGATAAGGTTTAAAGTGCTTCCAGCATAAAGCAATTTGAGAAGGGATTTCAGGGCATAGCTACAGTGGTGTAGTCACAGCCAGACCCATGAGGTTATGGGGGCTCAACCAGACAGGTTTGCAATGCCACTCGCTCAAATTTGGCTACGCCAACCCTCCATCTGATGGAAGGGCAGCAAGACCAAATCTGATTGGCGTTGCAGTGTAGCACATGGGGATGCAGCGCCGCTCAGGTTTGGTCTGGCCGCCCCCCTTCATGACAAAGGGGTGGCCAGACCACATTTGAGTGGTGCTGTGACCCTGTGTACCAGGTTGTACCACTCATTGCCCAAATTTGGCCTGTGCCATGTGAATGCAGGGTGGGCAACGGGAGCTAGCAGAGCTAATGGGCAGCTAGGATCCGGAGTAGCCTGGGATGGGAACAGACCACAGAGCTGGGGGTGGGGGGGTGGGTGCTGGTGAGTGGCCAGGAAGGTCACAGGGGTGAGGGGCTGGGGAGTCGGTTGCTTGGGGGGGCTTTGGGTGAGTGGGGAGTGTTAGGGGACTGCAGGAGGAAGGGTTGGGGTTGAGTGGGGGATGTTGGTGGTAGTAGGTTGAGTTGTGGGAGGCAAAAGGGTAAGTTGGGGGCTGTGATGTTGGGGGTAAGCAAAATTTCCGATTTTAGAATCTGGAAGGGGACCCCTAACCTATTCTTGCACCAGGGCCTTGCTTTGTTACACCACTGTGGTATTGAAAGGATAAGAAGGTGGACGAATGTCAGACTGGGTTAGGGAGCATGGTCTAGTTGTATGGGTAGTATGGAAAGGGGACATAAAGATGGGATCTAGTTGTGTAGCTTATACAGACCAAAAGAATTAGGGAGGCAGTGGAAAGAATATTTTATAATTTTTGTGCTTTCACAAGCTAAACATGTAAGGCCTATGGAATATATACATTTCTCTGTCATTTTCTGTTAGGGCTTGTCTACACGGTACATTGGTGCATACTAACTGGGGTGTAAATTCTAGTGTGCATCTGTGTGTCACACACTAACTGGACCGTGTGGACCCTGCTGGCACACATTAGAAGTTCCCTAGTGTGTGCTGATGTAGTCCTGTTTCAAACAATACTGCGTCAGTGCACGCTATGGAACTTTTAGTGCATACCAGTAGGGTCCACGTGGGCCAATTACCGTGTGACAACCTGTGCACAGTATAATTTACATCCCAGCTGGTGCATACTAATGCATCATATAGAAAATCCCTTAGTGAAATGTGCATTAACTACCATTTTAATGGGAAGCTAGCTTTTAATTTTCCATTCACTGGACACGGGGCTTTCATTTAATTCTAGATACTCATCATGTTCTCTCATATCTTCTCTAACTGCTCCTCCCATTTGCAGTTTTGCACGTTCTTTTATTTTTACACCTTCATTTGAAACAGGCTTCCGTTTCCTGTGCGCGCACACACCGTTCCTCTTTCAAATCCTTCCTTTAAATCCACATTTTGTGGAACACCTTTCTTGATTAATTGTTTCATCAATAGTGGCTCTGCACCTTCGTGAATGGCAACTCTTGTTCTGAGTGTCATGTTTATCCAAGGTAAATTTTGAGCACTTTGGAGCAGGGACTTTCCCTCCTCTTGGGCCAAATTCTGGAGTCCTTGCATAAGCAAAACTCTTTATGACATCAATGCAAATTTTGTCTACGGAAGGACTTAAGGAATTTCTTGTATGTTATGTATAATTCCATGCACAATTATAGCACTAAATAATAATTGCAGCTGAGGTGAAATGAGAAATTAATAAACTAGTGATGTTTTGTCATTGAGCCAACTTTTTCTTTAAGAATGTTAATGTTAAATTAAAAGAAACTTCAGTGATGTGTAATAGCAGTAAAAGATTAGAGGTAATATCTTAGATGCTGTTGCTAAATAAACATTTACTTATGGGGGTGTGAGAGAGAGAATTTTCAAAGCACTTTTTAGACATTCATGTAAGATTTTCATTATTTCTCTCTATAGAATAGGACTATCGCCTTTCTCAGTAGAGCTTTTCTTAATTATATTTATCTTCAGAGCCCCTGTTTTGATTATGCGAAGCAGAACTGAAAGAATCAACATTCTTATCAGGAAATGGGAAGTTTCAAAAGTGCTTCTAATTTCCAATGCATTTAATGGGACTATCAGTTCTTTCATTCCTGCTTTGCATTGTGAGATTGTTAAAATGATGTTTGCTAGTTATGCAATCATATTGTCCTTTTTAATTGCAAGCAGTGCTTTATTATTTTTATAACTTTTACAATATCTGTGTGCAAGATCTTTTAAAGAACAACTAGAAAGCTATGATTCCTACCCTGAAGTGTTATTGCTATGAGTCTAGTTTTAGACGTGACATAGTGAATGAGGGTAACAAACATCAGACGGGATTGGGGTGAAGCAAGGCAAGTTACAATAGTAACATCACAGTTACTCAGTTTAGAGGCATTTTTACCTCTTGATAATGAATAATTCAATTAAATATATTGTGTTTTCAAAATATATTTATCAGTGGTTCACTCTTGTGAGCACAGTGAAAGAAATGAATGCTAAGGAAAGATTTGAATGCCTGGATGACCAGAAGGCTTGACAAATGTAGTTTTGAAAATATAAGTGCTTTCTGCAAAAATCTTCTCTGGATAAGATTTGTTTTAATACTTTTAAAAGATTTTGATAGTTAAATTTAGGACCCATCCTGAATAGGGATCTGTATTGGTGCAGCAGGCACCAACATGCAGTCAACTGCCAGGGCCATAAACAGTAATTGAGGGGACTTGGTGATTCACAAGATTGGGCCCTTAGTTTAGAGAGAGGCATTTTAAGGATCAGATTGGCTTCTATTTTCCATATTTTTAGGGTAGAGAGAGAGAAAAGTGAAATAATTTTGTACTTTCTTCCAGATTTTAACAGACAACACTTCCACTGAACAGACCCTAAATAAAGTATTTGATCTCTGTGTCGTATGTGGAGACAAAGCATCAGGTAAATTCTTCAGCAGGACCACTTTTTAAAAGCAGTTTCAAGCTATTCTTCAGAAACAAAGTTTTCACTTTTTTTCACTGATTAGTTACTTTTTAATAAAAGTGGATGCCTAATGTAGCTGGACTGTGTATAGATGGGATTTATTAATTTTAGCTTTAATAATTGCATTTGTTTAAACGGTCCACTTAAAGCAATTTTCATATGTAGTTTAAGCCTGTCCAGGTCAGCATTATATTATTATACAACTACAGACACTGACCAATCAAATTACTTGATTGGCTGCAAATGCATTCTTAATTGACTGGCCATTCTGGCATTTTTGTAAAAGAAATGTTGTACAATGGACTTGTTCATTGTTACTTTGAAGTGATTTTTTTTCTTATCATTATTATTTTAAACTTAAGATATCTGTGAAAAACCGTGCTAGTTGTTTATAATACAAAACAGACACAATCAGGGAAGACCATAGAAATGTATTATAAAGTGCTCTTATGAGTTGTTTGTGCTATGCCAGTGGTCCCCAGCGTGGTGCCCGCGGGCGCCATGGCGCCCGCCGGGGCATTTATGTGCACCCGCCTAGTGCCCAGCAGGGGAGAGAAGCCGGGGCCCCGCACCTGCTGCGGACAAAGAACTCCGGGGCTGCGAGCACTGGTGTTCTCTGTCCTCGCGGCTCCTCTCCAGCTACTCTCTTCTCTCTGGATTCATATATTATGTAATATTAAATATGATATTTTTTGTATTATTTAATGTACAAATACAAAATAAGCCTTGAAAAATTGTTGACGCCCGCCACACTCTTCTGAAAACATAAATGTGCTACTGGCCACAAAAAAGTTGGGGACCACTGTGCTAAGCCGTTTGAGTCATCAGTTTTGGAATGGCCAAAACACTGAGGACACTTTATAATTCCACTAAGGTAGGGTGGGTGTGTGGGGGTGTGTGTGTGTGTGCACGCACGCATGTATATGTTATCAAAATGGAATGTTAAGGTAAAAGGGGAAAAGCTAAAAAATGCCCTTTGCAACAGTATTAGGGGACTGAACAGATGGAAGGGGGTAATGAAAGTAGGGAACCAAATGGCAAGTGTGCATTGCACGCCAGGGAGTCTGTGGAGAGCTGTGCTGCCTATCCCAACCCTGTGCCAGCTCTGTCTCTCCTCCCTATCCATCCCTCCCTCTGAGTCTCTGGTATGTGTTAAGCCTAGCAGCATGTTTTCCAGGATCTGTCAGAGTTGGACTGCACTCAGGCAAACCTCCAAAGGCTCACTAAAGGGAGAAGCTTCCTCTTTAATAGAGATGCAAGCCCTGTTTCTCAAGTATGGTTTGGCTGCAAATTTCCCCCTCTCTCTGTGCACCCTGGAAGGGGACATAGAAAGGGAAGACTTTTAGCCTAACTTCTGTGAGAATTGGCTAGAATTAGCGCCATTAGGGAAGCTATTTCTCCATCTGGCAGTCTGTCTGATTTGTCAGAGCAGGGGAGGCTGAAGGAGAATTGATAAGGATGTGGGGTCATAGAGGCAGCTAGAGTTAAGAAGCTGCTCAGGGCCTTAGTTTGGGAACCAGGGAAAGAGCGACAAGGCAGAATGTCTAGAGACTCAGAGGAGCTGCATCAAATAATGGAAGTACTCTGCAAAAAAACAAAACTGTCACCCTCCAAAGTGAAAAATAAAACTGTTATGGTAAACCATTTTATTTATAAGTATTTATTTTTAAAACAACCTTATTTGTAGTGTGAAACTGTATGAAATTTCATGTGTGTGTGACATTTGAGATGGTTATGTTAGAGGGATCTGAAAGTAAGTTAGAATCTCTGGAAATCTCTTCCAGACATCTGAATGGAAGTCTCTAAAGAGTGAGTAAAGTACCTATAAAATTATAGTTTATCCTCTTTGAATAAGTCAACATTTGAAATTGATTTTTGTGAATTGTCCTTCTTAATTAGAGGAGCAGCCATGAAACCTTCATAATACGTATTTTTGAACATTTCTGTATGGCCTTGCTTTTTAGATTTTAGTTCTGGATTATAAAATTAACAGTATGTATAGTAGCTGTGTCTAAATGACCAAGAGTGCCTTAATCTGTAAATGCAATATTCTTGTAGCCATACTCAGGGTTTTATTTTTTCAGCTAAGCAGGTTTTAAATATTGATTTTAAAAGAAAAATAAAATCTGGATTGTAGGGACAGAATAGCACAATGAGAAAAGCTGTGGAAATGTTGAATTTTTTATTGATTTAACAAATTTTTTGTTTACTTGCATCACTGAATACTTTCATTGTAAAAGAGAATTATGGATTTATCTTTACCCCAATTTGAAAAAACAAAAATCGATAATTTTGAAATGGTAACAGACATTGTCATCAAGTGAATACATTTATACTGTCTCCTCTTTACATATACAGTCTTTCTGTCATCTTTAAATCGTGCAGTTATGCTGCTAAATTGTATGATAGACAATAAAAGAACTTGATTAGAGGGTCACTGAGAAAAATTACCAAAGTATGTGTAATTCAAGTAATTCATGCTTATCCTAATGCTCCTGGGGAGGGGGGAAGCCAGTTTTCGGGCCTGTCTGCTATTGCTAGCAACAAAGACACTGGAGTCAAGGAGTTAATAAACTATTGGGAAATGGTCATCTTGCGTGAGTTGTTTAAACCAGAGATTTGGTTAGTTTGCTTGTCTGTGTGATTCTCTAGCCACTTGGTAGTGTCTTCATATCTGTAACTCATTTAAAAAAGTACATCCGTGCCTTGTCTATGTAAAGTTATACATACTCTTTGACTTGTCTAAATATAATTTCTTTTTAAAAGAGGGAAAATGTTATTAACACTGTAAAATTAATGTCCTGACTTATGCTGTTCTTCAACTAGGACGTCATTATGGAGCAGTAACATGTGAGGGATGCAAGGGATTCTTTAAAAGAAGCATACGAAAGAATTTAGTTTATTCATGCCGAGGGGCAAAAGACTGTGTCATTAACAAACATCATCGAAACCGATGTCAGTACTGTAGGCTGCAGAGATGCATCGCGTTTGGAATGAAACAGGACTGTAAGTATAAGTAAGATTTATAAATCTGGTAGGGGGTGAGTGAGTGTGTGTGTGTGCATATATATATAAATAAAAAATCAGGCATATATATAAAATATAGCAGGCATTCATGACAAGGTTTGTGCTGTGGAGAATATACTGTTATATATGCATGCAAATCAGGCTTTACCTTCATTACTGTTATGAAATAGTTAGATCAGCTTCTCCTTAAAGAATGGTAAGTCCAGTGTGACTCAAACTCTGAATTTTGGCAATTTGTCAAAGATTGAAATAACCTTAAAAACACACAGAACAGAGTAAATAAGAATAAAGTGTTGTTCCTAGGCAACAGGCATCCATTTTCTATGATAAATTGTCTGGTTGTAAATTTAGCAGCTGAAGAAATTTTGAATAACTCCACCTTCCCGTCAGTTTGTCCAGCAGATTCTGCACCCTACCTAGTTTGCCCAGCAGAGGAAGGTATCTCCCAGGCAGAGATTAGCAGGCACATACGACTTAATTCTTGCAGTTCTAAGTTCTTCTTTGAAATTTCCTTGTGCTGGCAGATTTTAAATATGTACATGCTCAAAGACAGTGTAATTTTAAAAGTTACGGATTAATGTGATCATGTTTATTTTTTAATCCTTCCTTTTTGTGACTTTTATGGTCTCGCTACCTTAAAATAGTCCCACAAATGGAATCTCAACCTTGTATTAAACATTATGTATTTATATGTAGCATGTAATGCTGTAGTCCCTAGGGGGTAAATGGCTTTAAAGTGGCCAGGTGCATTGGTGCCTATTTTAAATTATGCACTGGATTGAACCTACAGTTTACTGGTCTGGGTCACCACACTCTTCCATTGTGTAACTCCGTTGAAGTAAATGGAGTGACACCATCTTAAAATTCATGTCACAGAGTGGAGAATAAGACCCTACATATTTTAAGGCGTTCCATCTTGTAAACACTTTTAGTACGTGTTTTGGTTTTGCAATGACAAAACTAAATTTGTTGTAAGTATATAAGTAGTTATTTCCTCATAAGGAGAAGTTCTCCCTTTGAGTTCTTAAAATGAAGTTGTGTAAGTAAGTTTCCAGTTGGCTTTGTTGTTTGGAGTCAGATTTCTCCATGTGGTAGAATAGTTTCCAGTTTATTTTAATGATGCCATATTTGTTGGCATGGAACCAAGAGGTTGAGTAGTTGTGGATTAAATTTCCAGAGGGAGCATAAAAAGGAGACACTGTGACCCCTTCCTAAACAGGGAGGGAACATGTGGGCTTAGCAGACAAAAGGAGATAGAGACAATATGAAGCAAAAAAGCCTTCCCACGAGGATCCAGACAGGTGAAAACTCCCTAAGGACCACTTTTAATTTCTTCATACATTTAAAATTATTGGCCTTTATGTGTTTGACCTTCAGTCTTTGACTCCTTCAACATAAAAACAAGTGTGTTTATCTATCCAGAGCCTTAGCTAATGATTCTTATGCACTTTTGTTATTCAATATAGCGTCTATATAAAAACACAAATATATTAAACCGCAAGCTTTTTCAGCAGTAATTGGAAAAACAGGACTCAATTTCTTAAACACTCTTGTTTGTGATATCTCCATCTGACTGTTCGTGAATTTTGGGTTCTCACCTAATAGTTACACACCATTTTGTTAGCTGTTCAGTGCGAGAGGAAACCAATTGAAGTATCACGAGAAAAATCTTCAAACTGTGCGGCTTCTACAGAAAAGATCTACATTCGAAAAGATCTGCGCAGCCCACTTGCTGCAACTCCAACTTTTGTAACCGACAATGAAACAGCAAGGTATGTTAATAGTGCTCAAGACTAATAGTTTCTTGATCTCAGAAACATCAGAAGACTAAAATTTGTACTTTTTTTCCCTTCAGATCAACAGGACTGCTAGAGTCAGGAATGTTTGTAAATATTCATCAGTCCGGAATAAAAAGTGAGCCTACTGTGCTTATGACACAAGATAAGGTATGTGATGACATGAATAAAATACTAAGGCTACATCTACAGTACGAGCTAGAGGTGTGATTTCCCCAGCTTACATAGACATACTTCTGCCTGCTTTCATTGAACTAACATAAGTATAAACAGCAATGTATCTGTAGTAGTACAAGTAGCAGCAGTGAAGGCATGACTTAGCTGTGCCAAGTACTAACACACCTTCCTGTAATTCTTACCTGTTTTAGAAAACCTAGGACATAAAGGTTACCTCTCTTTTTCATTTAAAAATTGCTGGCTTTAGAAAGTCTTATTCCTCTTGCAAGAAAACTTTTTTTTCTTGTATTTTGGACTCTGAGCACAGCAGGCTTTTTTCCTTTTTGTGCTGACTGGTTGGTGAACATGGGCCAGCCAGTTTCCTACTTGGACTCGCAGTATGTTAACAAATTTCTTACACACATGTTCTTGGATAACGTCTCTGAATCGTGCAACTTTAATTGCATTTCTGCATTCACGTGCTGATTATTTGAAAATATAAATAAGGTTGGATGACCTGGAATCCCTTACCAAGGTAGCTATGGCTCTATCTGAATGCATTTCACAAATATCTTTAGTAGTAGTATTCTCCCTGAACCATGTATACTCTCACAAAACTAAGTACCGTTTCAGAATTCACGACATAGTCATTGGGGTGGAAAAGGAAATATAGTTTCTTAAATTCATCTGGAGATGTTGACAGCACTGGACAATGTTGGGGTGTTGTGGTTAACGCGCCTCTTCAATGTTGCGTGAAAGGCAGGTGCAATACCTCTGGACTGGCAAACCGGGGTGGTGATCCCGAAAGGAAGCCAGAGGGTGTGTTCCAACTATAGGGGGATCACACTCCTCAGCCTCCCTGGCAAAGCCTATGCCAGGGTGCTGGAGAGGAGATAACATCCGTTAGTTGAACCTCAGATTCAGAAGGAACAATGTGGATTCTGTCCCGGTCGTGGAACAACAGACCAGCTTGTTGCTCTCTCGCAGATATTCGAGGGATCGTGGTAGTTTGCTAATCCGGTCTATCTTTGTTTTGTAGACCTGAAGAAGGCATATAACCACGTTCCCCAAGATGTCTTGTGGGAAATGCTGCGGGAATATGAGGTGCCAGTGCTGCTTTTGCATGCTATCCAGTCCCTCTATTCTCAAAGTGAGAGTTGTGATCATATTCTTGGCACTAAGGCGAGTTTGTTTAAGGGGGGCATTGGACTCCACCAAGGGTGCATCTTGTCCCCACTCCGGTTGATGATTTTCATGGACAGGATGTCAAGGCACAGCCGAGCTGTGGAGTGTATCCACTACAGGTGGCATCTCTGCTGTTTGCAGATGATATCCTTCTTGCTTCTTCAGACTGTGATCTCCTACGCACACTTGAACGTTTTGTTGCTGAGTGTGAAACGGTTGGGATGAGAATCAGCACTCTCCAGGTGAGGGGGGAGGGGTAGCTGCCCTTAGTGGAAGAGTTCAAGTATCTTGGGGTTTTGTTCACGAGTGATGGTAAGTGGGAGCATGAAATCAACCAGCAGATTGGTGTGGTGGCTGCAGTGATGCAGACGCTGTACCAGTCTGTGGTGGTGCAGCGAGAGCTGAGTTCTTGGATGAAGCTCTCGGTTTACAGGTTGATCTACGTCCCCATTTTCACTTACAGTCATTAACTTTGGGTAATGACTGAAAGAACGACATTGCGGATACAAGCGGCAGAAATGAGGTTTCTCCGCAGAGAGGCTGGGCTTACTCTCCGAGACAGGGTGAGGGGCTCAGCTATTTGGGAGATCCTTGGAGTATAGCCACTACTTCTCCAGATCAAGAGGAGCCAGCTGAGGTGGTTTAGGCACCTGATAAGGATGCCCCGTGGGAAGCTTTCTTTGGAACTCTACCAGGCATGTCCCACTGGGAGGAGGCCCTGAGGCCGACAAGGGACACACTGGAGGGATTATATCTCCCGGCTGGCCTGGGAACTCCTCAGGAGGAGCTGGAACCTGTTGCGGAAGAAAGGGACGTCTGGTCCTCCCTACTCTCCATGCTGCTGCCATGACCCTCACCCGGAAAAGCGGCATACAGGAAAAAGAAGTTGTTTCTTAAATTTAAACAAAAGACAGATCAGACTGCAATTCAAACCCATTACACATTCAGTTGTTAAGAGATAACTAATCAACATGCTTCTTCCTCATGGATTTTTTTTAGCCTGATTTTTCTCTGTTCCCACTTTCATATGAGTTCTGTTGGTTTCTTCATTTACTCTAACACTTTTTTCTTTCTTCAACTGATGTCCAATTTCCTTATTCTGTTCTCATGCACTTTACCCTGCTTGCTTCATCTGGCAAAGGTCTAGTCAAAAGACTTCCCTTAACAGACAGGTCAGTGAAAACGAGAGTATGAATAAGTAATTAAATACAATGTGGCATACTTGAGAGGGCAGCTTTGTTTTTGCCTGCAGGTGTGCATGCTCTTTTCTTAAAGTGATTTTTAATGGGGAAAAGGTTGCTTGCTGGCCGGCTGGCTACCTTCTGGGCTACTTAGCAGCAAAATAAAGAAGTAAAAAGAAAGTATATCTTGTTGTAGTGGTATGGCTTCTCTGCATGCCTAGGCTAACATGACTTCTCATCCATTCCTTCTTCATAAACATCCTTCCTCTACTTCTGATTGGCTTACAAAACTGCAGACCGTACCAGGGAAGTTTTACAAATGAAATACAGAAAAGATCATATTCAGTTACATAGCCCAAGTGCCAATGGGTATTTGAACAGTGACTCATGGTGGTAGAGACAATAATTGTTATTTATTAGCTACACTTTTACAGTTAATCTGTAATTTATCTAGAGGATCACAGTGATGGGCACAATACAAATCGAATAATAAATGATGCTACCCTGAATTGTGCACCCAATTTTCCTGAAAAATTTTTTTTTTTTACATTTTAATGTATATTTGTGCCAGTTTCACCACTTTCCCCATATTTTTCATATTTTTCTGCTCTGTCTATTCAATTTAGACTCTGCACCATTCCAATACTGTGTTGTACATCATACCAGATTCTATATATACGTACTATTTCTGTGTTGGTTACACCAAAGAAGAGTTTGCTGAAAGTAGCTTACTACTGCTTCTAATTATTCTCAGTAACTAGATGTAGTGTGTGTAGAAATTGTATTGATATAACATGTATGAAGGCCTTGTCCACTATAGAATAGTGACCCATTGCTGATCCCAGGAGAGTTAGTGGGTAACAAGATTGTTGTAGTGAGCCTTAAATCCAGAGTCTTTATTAAGTTCATGATTTTTAGTGTCTTATTAAGTAATACATTTAAGCTCCCAGGTTCATCTTTGAAGGTGTTGTGCAGGTTTTCTTTGAGGACGAGGACTGAGAGGTGAGATATGGAGTGATCGTTTTATGAGACGTGTTAACCCACGGGAGATAAGAGAGTTCTTTGCTTTTCTCATTTTTCTGTGTGAGCTCATTTGAGAGCATAGCAATTGTCTCATTCTTCTTCGAGTGATGGTCCCTATTGTATTCCACTGATGGTTTACACATGCTCACCATGCATCTGGAGCTGGAGAATTTAAAAGTGATAGTGTCCGTTGGTCTGCGCATGCACCCTTGCCTCACCTTAGGGTTTCGGTTGAGCTGATAAATGGCAGGGACAGACCGACCACTTCTTCAGTTCCTTCTCACTGTCTTTTGCTCCAGGTCAGAACTATTAGTGTTCTCTTGCGTGTGTATAATTGTATATAGTTAGTTTTTTGAAGTATTTAGCCATTTTACTGTTTTTGCATAGATTTTAGTCATTTTAGTAGTTATTTAGAGTTGATTTGGGACTTTTGGGGGAATCTGTTTACTTGTAAACACCTACCCACACATGGGTACTGGACTATGCCAAATACCCCATGCTTTAAAATCTGCACCTCCTGCCTGTGTTCCTTCTTGATCAGTAATGAATATCAGCGCTGCCTCTACTGCTTGGGAGAAGTCCATACTTCATCCAGGTGCAGTATCTGCCAGTCCTTCCCAAGCTGTACCCAAGAAATCTAGGGTGTCTGCCTCAAGAAGCACCTCATGGAAGTCGCTATGAGACCTCAGTCAGACCCAGGCCAGGGAATTCCTCTTGTACATCGGCCTGAGACAGCCAGGAGTGCATCTCCAGCTACAGAGATTGAGTTTGCTCTGGCTGTACCACCACTATGGACTCTGTGCTGGGGCCGGGAGGTCAGGAATCATGCGCATAAGCATGGCAGTAAGTCTTCCTCTAAACCGAAGAAAGGGGATGCGCCTTCCACGAGTTCCAGCCACAGGGAAGCAGTGCGCTCCAAGATCCATAAATGTGACAAGAAACCGCACAAACCGGCAGATTTGGGGTACCAGGTACCAAGCCCCACACACCGTCAACGTCTGCTTCCTTTAAGGTACAGGACCCGTTGACTCTGGGAAAGTCCACTGCTCTAGTGCCAGTTTCAGCTACGGAAAGGGTACCATTAATGCCACAGAGATCGGGAAAAGTGCCAGAGCCCCAGGAACTGTTTGCCCTGGGAGAACCAAGATCTCCATGCCTTCTACTACCTTCCACCTTTAGAGGCCATATCTCCCACCCAAGACATATCGCATTCAAGGCACCCTTCACCACATCCTCCAGTGGTCTACACACTTCCACCAGCTCTGACGTTAGTGCCAATGGAACCGGGATCCGAGTTTTCGTCCTTGAAGAATTCAGATGAAGCACGGGGGCTGCCCATCCCTTACTGCCACTATGAGTACCCAAAGAGGCCATCTATATCATGGCAATATCCTCCTCACCAACTGCAGAGGAGCCTCTGATTCCCCACACCCTGGTGCTGCCACAGCACCCTCCAGATCCGTCATGTTGGCCCTACTGGGTATGCTGGCCCCAATACCCACCCATTCCGTGTGGGAACCTTCACTTCTCCTGCATCTAGAACACCCTCAAGTAGGTATTCTGCACTGATCATGGAAGAAGACCTGCTCAGTTGGGTTCCCACAGGACTGCTGGAGCAGAAGCGCTTTCTGTTTTTCTCCCAAGATGCTGCAGTGACTTCGGCTTTCTCCTTGCTCCCAGATGACTTTCGGTAATTCCAAGATCTCCTGGGTAGGGTGGCAGGTGAACTTCACATCCTCCTCGAGGAAGTACAGGACACGCAACAACAGCTCCTGGACATCCTTCGGTACTGGGTAGGGTTGCCCTGCCAATCAACAATTCCATCCTTCAGCGAGCTCAAACAGTTTGGCATACTCCAGCCATATGCACACCTACCCCCATGGGGGCAGAAAAGAGATACTATGTACCGGCTAAGGAGACTGAGTTTCTTTTCTCGCACCCCCCTCCCAATTACCTTGTAATACAGGCCAGAATGGTCCAGATAGCAATACCCATGCTCCAGTCTGGCTGATAAGGACGGCAAATGGTTGGATCTTCTGTGACGCAAGGTCTTCTCAGCAAGCCTCTAGTTCAGGATTTCGAACTATCAAGCATTGCTTGCCAAATATGACGACTTGAACTATAGCAAACTGGAGGATTTTGCTGAGAAACTGCCGCAACAAGATCGGGCCTGATTCCAGTCAATCTTGGAGAAAGGGGAACTGGTGGTGAGGACAGTGCTTCAATCAGCTGTAGAAGCGGTAGGCATAGGCACCTACCCCGTGGATGCACTCACTGGCAGCCCCACGGATCAGTGCCCCAGCGCTTCCCCCTCACTGAGGATCAGCTGTTCAGTGGCATTCAGAAGGCGCTGGCGGTGGAGAGGAGGAGATGGGAAGAGGTGGGGTGGGGGCAGGGCCTTGGGAGGAGCAGCGGTCGAGCACCCCCTGAGGTCTGAGTAAGTTTGTGCCTATGGCAGCAGACACTTCCTCACGCTCGATGGCTACAAGCATTGTCATGCAGAGGGAATTGTGGCTTCATTCCTCTGACTTCCCCAGGGAGATACAAAGTACCATTGAGGACCTCCCTTTCAATTAATTTAATCTTTTTAATCAGAAAACAGACGAGTCCCTCCACATCCTCAAAGATTCTACTGCTTGCCATCCACATAACAGTACAGGATTTCCCAGTTTTTCCACAGAAGGCTGTACGAACCACCAAGAGACCCAACGATCTCTCCCTCCAGGTCCACCTTCACAGCCTTCCTCCTCACACATGCAAATTTCTCAAAAAAGATATTTCTGAGGAACCATCAATCACACCGTCCCCTTTGGCAGTTGTCTAGCACTCTTTCTACCAGCTTGGAGTGCATTATGGGGTCCTTATATTCCCCTATCTCGATGACTGGCTTCTAGCAGCACAATCCAGAGATGAAGCTCGAGTCTCAACCTCCATGTTCCTGAGACTCCTTTCCTTCCTCGGAGTCAGCGTCAATGTTGAAAAATCAACTTTGGTTCCCACACAGTCCCTAGACTTCATAGGGGCCTCCATCAGCTCAATCACAGCACGAACTTACCTACCAACGGTCAGATTCCGACTGTCCAAGAAGTCAACAGTCTGTCGGTCCCAGCCAGGACTTGCGTATCCCTTCTTGGCCACATGGCATCATGCACATATGTCACTGTCTTCACTCACTTTCACCTTCACAGCCTCCAGATGTGGCTCCAAAAGAGTTTACTCACACATGTGACATACCATAGATCTTATGCTGACATTTCCCCCTGAGGTACTCTCGTCCCATCCTCCCTGGACAGGACAATCATCAGCGATGCATCCCTCATAGGGTGTGGAGCACACGAGAGATCACATGACACAAGGAACGTGGACTCCTTGGGAATCCAGGATGCTCATCAACGTTCTGAAACTCCGGGCTGTAAGAAAGGCATGCCAAACATTTCTTCCATACATCTGCTCTGATCATGTTCTCATCATGTTGGACAACACTACCACTGTTTATTACATCAACAAACAAGGGGACAGGAAGTCAACCGCTCTGTGTGCGGAGGTAGTCATCGCACACAAGATCCTGCTATCTGCAGCCTATCTTCTGGGGACTCAGAATGTGATTGCAGACTCTCTCAGCAGCAGATTTGTGTCTGATCGTGAGTGGAAACTCCACAACACTGTAGTAAGCAACATCTTAGTTCCTACCAAGCCAAATAGAACCGCTTCACCTCCTGGGCCCAACAGAAAGAGCTTTCCCCAGAGGAAGTGGAGATTCCTCTTTCGGATTACCTCCCATTCTTAAAAACACTGGGGCTCACCCTCAAAGCCCACTTAGCAGCAATTAGCGCCTTCCACCCCATCCCCCTCCATGGGAAGGCACTGTGTATTTACACACTCGTTGACTGCTAGGTTTTGGAAAGATCTCATCAGAACTTTCCAACATGCACAACCTATCACTCCTCAGTGGGACCTCAACCTCGTTCTATCAACACTAATGAAACAACTCTTTGAGCCACTGGGTCTGCTTTATGTCCCTCTTTTCAATCCCAGATTTCTACCAAAGGTTGTATCCCAGTTTCATCTGAATTAACCCATCCACTTACCTGCTTTCTTTCCAAAGCCTCATGCCTCAGAAGAGGAACAATGACATCGCTCCCTTGACCTCCAACAGGCTTTGACCTTCTAACTGCAGAGGTCAAGACTGATCAGGAAGTCTCCTAGATTGTTTATCAGAGTAGTGGAGAGAGTTAAGGGGCATGCAGTCTCTACACAGAGAATCTCCAGTGAATTTTGGGGTGCATTACACTATGTTATGACTTGTCAGGACTGCCTCCACCCATGGGGGTGAGGGCCCATTTCACGAGAGCCCCGGGTTCAACCACGGCCACTCTCCATGAAGTGCTGCTTGGAGACACATGTAGAGCGGCCACATGGAATTCAGTACATACCTTCGCTACACATTACACCTTGGTGCAGAACTCTGTGAGGGATGCCTCATTTGGTGCGGCTGTCCTCCACTCAACCATTCCATCCTAATCCTTGCACTCTCCTCCAATTTAGGTACTGTTTGTTAATCACTCTTAGTGGAATACAATAGGGACCATAACTCAAAGAAGAAGAGGCGGTTACTTACCTGTAGTTGGAGATTCTTTGTGTGGTCCTTATCTGGATTCCACTTCCCGCCCTCCTTCCCCTCTGCTGCGGATCTCTTGGATTTGCGGTGGAGAAGGAACTGGAGACACGGTCAGTACACCCCACCCTTTATCACCTCGGATGAAGCCATAAGGTGAGGCAGGGGTGCATGCGCAGAACAACGGACACTACTACTTTCAAATTCTCTGGCTTAGGACACATGGTGTTCATCTGTAAACCCTCAGTAGCATACAGATAGGGACCACACATCTTGAAGGACCTCCAGTTACAGGTAAGTAACCTCCTCTTTCACCAATATAGTTGTTGTGCAGGTATTTAGTGCACTAGATGAGGTATACCACACATTGTGATAGGCATATATAGGACCCCATGGGTCTTGTAAGGAGTGTTGTGGGGAGTATTGCTCATCATAGCAATGTAGCTATGTATGAAGGTTGTGCATCTGTTGCTCTAGCAGGGTCCGGTGCCGCTTTGAATGTGTTTGTCCTTGTCTATTGGGAGCTTGCTTCTGATGATGAGCTTGGTGACATTTGGGAATTGTTTGAAGGCCAGAAGAGGGGGTTCAAGAAAGATTTATTTCAGGATATGGTCCCCATTGAGTTATTGTTTTTAATGAAAGTCTGTATGGGTTCCAGTGTGCGAGACAGGGGACAACTAGGGGTGTGTGGGCAGAGGGTGTCCCCCTACCAGATATTGAAGCAGATTCTCTTGGGGCATATCCCTAATATCCTGGGACCAACATGGCTGCAACAGCACTGCAAACAAACCAAAAGGCAAGTCTCAAGAAAGCTTTCTGCAGTTGTGCTGAAAAATTTGACCGTAGTGTAGACTATGAAAATTCAAATGCTGAGCAAGTTTAAAAAAATGTGCGAGAGAAACAAATGGGATTTATAAAGCTGAGAAATCCTAGGCACTGTGCAGTTCAACAGTGTAAAATACCAGTAATTTCGCCCAGTGAAGCAAGGTCTTACCCTCAACTTGAAGTTTGCTGTGTTGCTGAAGCCGCGTTGGTCCCAAGATATACCTTGTCACTCAACTTGATGGTATTTCTCTGTTTGGATGCAACGCAGTAACTTTTGAATGTCGCATCCAATCATTTTGGAGAATATACTAGCCATCAATGGACAAAATCCTATTGATTTTGGTGAAAATCGAGGAACTGGAAGAGGGAAATGGGGGACATGTAGAGCCCCTTGCATCTTGTTAGCAGACCCAGCAGCTTTACCACCTCTGTAATTGTCCAGAGATCAAAGAACCGGTTGATGGCAGCCATTAACAGCTTCCAGCATAACAATCTCAGCTCTGCCCATCCTCTCAATACAGTTTAACATGTTGACACCCTTAATGACTTGTCTCCCAGACAGAAATATTTTTTATAATAATGGTGGGGGTAGGGGTGTCAAAGAGGGGCACCCAGACACCCTGGCTGGAGGGAGGGGGGACAATTGGCAGAGCAATGGGGGACCCTAGCATAGGGGTGGTTGCAAGGACTTCCAGAAATGGTGGGAGATGGGAGGATGGAACACCACAGGGAGCTTGTGGGGGGAATTGAAGGGATGCAAGGAGCCTCTAGTGTGTGCAATGAGCTTGGCCTAGCGAAACTAGTAAGTCTGCATGTCCCCCATCCTCTTCCTCCCATAGTTAAGAATAAGTTAAAAGCAGCAGGTCTTTCCATAATTATTGTTGCTTTTTGGAGTACTGTTCCCATAAAAATACATGTCAACTACTAGTAAAAGTTGATTTTTGAAAAAATTGTTTCAAAATTAACATGTGCAACCTCTAATTTCTTCATTTTAATTAATCTGTTACTGAAAGTAACTTAGTTTTCATGGGTTCTGTTTGCAATTCCATGTCTTCATTTGTTAGTGTGAAAGCTGAATTTTTTCCTTTACAAAGTCAGGTTCTGTCAGTGTGAAAGGATTAAAGCTATCCTTTTTTCCCCCCTAGGTTGAGGCCTGTCAGGGGGATTTAAGCACACTGGCAAATGTGGTAACATCATTAGCAAATCTCAGTAAGTCCAAAGACATGTCTCAAAGTAGTGCTGAGCTGTCTATGATTGAAAGTTTAAGCAACGGAGATACATCATTGTCTGAACTTCATCAAGAAGAGCAAGCAAGTAGCGATGTTACCAGGTAAGGCACGCTACAATATTTACATTTTTAAATATAATTCTTTTTGATAATCTCACTCAAAGCTTACACAATCAAACAATGCAGACAGTTCTTCAGTAAAAATCATTACAGTACCATACTGAACTTGTGATGAAGAATAACCATACAGAAGATGCTAATTGAGTTCTGAGTAAAATTTTGCAGTGAAGTTCCATTTAGAAATAAATATGAGTAAATTATATTTGTGTTTGGAAAGAATTTAAATGTAACCTTGGTGGCCGATTTATATTCCCATGATTGTCATAAGTAGTAGGCCTTGGCCCACATAGTATATACTATATACTTTTCTAGTACTTTGTTCCACATAGGAAAATGTATTGTTCATAAGTCCCATCTACACAGGCAACTGAACATTGACAACTCCAGTTCAATCACCTGGAATGCTCATAAAATACTTTCTGTCCATAGAGAAGTGCTTCATAGATCTTTTCAGTATTATTACAATGGCATTCACTCAGAGTACATCTTACAAATCCTTTGCCTGCATTGGTTTTAATTTGAACCTTTTCAGTACTAGTGTAGATAGGATAAGTGGGTAGTACAGCAGTGCTGGTCCAATTAATCCTTCCACCACAATCTTGCCCACCGTTTCAGCTCAAGCATTTACACAACAGCAGCCAAGATAGTATACGTTCACTACATACTATCCATCCTGTACGCTCCAAGCCAAAAATTACTGTATTACACCAATGTACATTTGGAGTAAATCCATTGGGATAAACTAGTCTTGCTCCAATTAATGCAGCTGAGGATCTGGCCCCTAGGCTTTAGTTTGCTTTACTCTGTATTTACTCTGTTATTGCAAGCAGAATTTATGTACACCTACCTCTTTCAGTACCTTATCTAATTCCCATTGAAGTCAGTGTGTCTCTTTCCATTGACATCAATAGGAACCTCATAGGGCCCTCAATCTGTATACCATATGAGACAAGACTTTGGAGAATATAATAGTTTATGATGATGTACTTCAAGACTGTAATGTACAAATGCACAAGGGGACAGAAGTAAGATAGCACAGGCAACCTTGACATTTCCTTACACTTTTCAGTGCCTAACTTTGCACCCTTTAATGTTCTTGTACCTATTTTTTTAAATTGCAATCTATATAGTGTATATTAATGAGCAAGATGGGAGAGCTTTGCCCTTACTTAATACATCGTTCCCTCTCATAAGTCATCAAAAGGGAGTTTCCCTTCAGATAATGCATATTAGAGGAAAAATTGTTTCAAATGTAAAATTGAAACTTTGATCGAAGGCCATGTCTACACTAGAAAGCTTTACTGCTGGCATACAGCTGCCAATGTGGCAATTTTAATAGAGCACTTGCACACTTGACTGCCTTTAACAGTGCAGTGCATCCTCATGGTGAGAGATTGTATCAGCAAAAGGTGCTTTGCATTGCGGGTTGGCATCCAAGTGTGTCCCATGCTACCATCAGCACACTGCCTTCTGGGATATTTTGGAAGGGCGTTGTGGGATACCAGCACTCCTCTAAAGGAATTGTGGGAGCTCGTGGCCAAGTTTCCACAATTCCTTCTGTTGCATCCCATAGTTTTCTTGTTTCGTGCCATTTTAAAAATACTCTCAGTTCCTCATGCTGGTTTTCATTTCAGTCTTTCTGCCATCTTGCTGGCAGAAGCACGGATGCTGAACAGATCAGTGGAGTTTTCATGTCTATTTTAGAGACGGGTGCCTGATTCTTCTGTATTCTTCAACAACTACCACAGCAGCTGGGTGTGCAGCTATACAAATGAGAAAACTGAGGGGAGGGATGATGCAGACAGTGAATGAAAATGTGTATGCTGAAGGCATTTACTAACCAGCTGCACATGGTGAATTGATGCTTCTGGGCTCATGAAATGAACACCGAGTGGTGGGATTGGATTGTCATGCAAATCGGGAACAATCAGCAGTAGCTGCAGAGCTTTTGGATACAGAAGGCCACATTCCTGGAGTTGTGTGTCAAGCTCATCCCAGCTTTGCAGCAAAGAGACACCAAATGAGAGCTGCTTTAGCAGTGGAAAAATGGGGGCTGTCCCACGATGGAAGCTTGCAACCCCAGATTGCTATCAGCTGGGGGGCTACCTGTTTACTGCTGGAAAGTCTATGGTGGGGGCTGTCATCTTCCAGGTTTATAAGGCCAGTAAGCATGTTCTTCTGCACAGGATTATGACTATGGGCAATGTACTGAAAATAATAGCTGGATTCAGTGCAATGGGCTTCTCAAACTGGGGAGGCAGTAATAGACAGGACACACATCCTGATTCTGGGCACCCCGCCCTTACTTCTGAGTACATAAACGGAAAGGGATATTTTTCCCTGGTTATGGAAGCACTAGTGGTTCACTGGGGATGTTTTACTGACATTAACATAGGATGGTTAGGGAAGGTGCATAATCCTCACATTTTTAGGAATATAGTCTATGTGCAGAGACACTTTTTCCTGGACTAACACATTCACGTTGGTGGGGTTGCAATGTCAATTGTGACTCTCAGAGACCCGTCCTCCTCTTTGCTTCCCTGGCTCATGAAAACATACACCGGGAACCTGGACAGCAGCAAGGAAAGATTTAACTGTTGTCTGAGCTGGTACAGGATGACTGTTGAGTGTGCATTTGGTAGATTGACAGGATGAAGGAGATGCCTTATGACTAGGTTGTATGTTGTGTTTTTCGTAGTATTTGTGAAGCAAAGAGAAACATTACCAGCAGGGTGGAGGGGGGAAGGTGGAAAGACTGCTGATATTGAACAGCTAGACAATTACAAGAGCCCATCAAGGTCTTGTATGGCTAAGGGAGGTCTTAAAAGCGTATTTTAACTGTGCACCCCATAGTCCCAGTATGGTTGTTTGTGTTATTTTGTCACTTCATGATTAAAGTGTACTTGGGTTGTATATTAATTTTAAATGAATTCTGAATGCATTTTAGGAATCCAGTGATGGAGGTCACAAAGCTGCTTTGCAAGACAACATAAATCTTGATTTTTGCAAAACAAAATTTTGAACAGTAATAAACAACAAAAATGGTTCTAAGAACATTTAAAACCATTTTAAAAGAAAGTGCAAGGTGCTGACCGTTCTTGTATGAATCACAGGCCAGTGTACATACAGTCATAGAAATACTCCTTATTTTCCACTGGGGTTGAGAGCAAGGGATTACTGTGACATACTATGCTGATGCCTTGGCGAAGGAGTATTTATGGGCCAAGCTGTGGAAACAGAATTGTCCATGTAGTGCAGTAGCTGGTGGGGTGTATAACGCTTTATAGCATCTTCCTTTGCTGTCTCAGGAGCTGCATAATGTCTTGGTGGAGTTACCTATGCAGCTCCTCATACTTGTGCCTTTCCTCCAGCATGTACTCCCTCCACTTTCTTGTCTTGTGGGCCACAGACTCTGAGCTCCTGAGGAGATCTGAGCATGTTCTCCCCTGTCCTCCTGATCAAGGTCAGTCTTTTAGCAGGTGTGAAGGGGGCCACTCTCAATGATACCCCAACTGAAGCTGCTGATAAACAAGACACTCAGACATTGTTAGAGTTAAAGGGTTAGCAGGTAGGAAATAAGTAAGAAAATTGCTTAAAATGTCGCCATAACGATATTCATGAATGTATGAAATGGGTCAGACTTGCTTTAGGACAGTTTAGCAGTATATTGGGGGCACTTTTCAAACCTGTACCCATGAAGGGTTGGGGGATGGTCTGCCCTATGTCTTGGGTAATACATGTAGGGATAGTGCAGTAAATATTGCTAAACTTATTACAGGCAGTGGTGATTCTGGCTGATGTATCACTCATGAGGGTACCAAAGGCCCCGAGGAGGCAACTGGTCAAGGTCCATATGCTGCCATCCTCTTCACACCAACACTGCTGCAGGAGCTTGTTATGGGGTGGCATGGAAAAGTTTCCTATCATGGTGGAAGAAACAAAGCATCTCTCCTGAGAAATGTTCAAGCAAAATTTAAATCCTACAGTACCTGAAAACTTTGTTGAGATTGTGCCAAATGATAAGAGATTTGTTCCAAGATCAACCAAAAACTCCAAAAGAGGAGAGAGTAGTCACTGCTGCCTAGCTTCTGCAAAGTCAATTCAAAGCCACACCTCCTAAGCCAGCAATAAACCATCTCTCCCTCTTTCTACCCCTGAATTCAAGCACCGCATGCAAATAATTGGTTTTTGATTTGAATTCTAAGATTGGAATACCACAGCACTGCATTTTTCATGTTGATATTACTTGTTAACCATCCAATTTTAGTCAGAAGAAATCATATAGTCTGAATAAATATTTACTGGATTGCTTCTAAGGATTATTTTAAATTTTCTGTGTATTTGAATTGAATGATCAAGTGTTGATTTCACTACATTTTTTTTTTCCTGCTTGTAGTGCATCGATTTATATTACTAAAAATCTGTCCACCCTGGCAAAAGGATACATGGGGGAAAGTTTTTGTGTTGCTTATTTTATAGTGTTCTCTCTTATTTTTTTGCCTATGACTGCCAGTGCATGTTGTTCAAATAAACTGTTTACTTCAAAAGGCTTCCTTTGTTTCTTGCCCACATATGTTCAGCCACCAGTTTTAGAGGTGGGGATGAGGGAGGGGAGTTCCAAGACCCATTAATAAAGTTTTTTTTTAAAGCGCAGTACACCTATCTGAGCTCTTTGCCCCTTTCTCAATGGGTTCCTCCTCTGGGTGAGTCAGGGTTAGGTTTAGCAGGCTCTTGAAGAGCTCCTTATTCTATTCAGGGATTGCATCTTCCACATCCCCCTCCACTGTGAACTTTTCATCGCTGTGCATTGCTGGGGTTCTTTCTTGGTCTTATGAGGTGTCCACTGTCACTCGAAGGGTTGTCTGCCCAGTATGGCATCCAGTGCCACATAGTTGCAGCAGGTGTGGGAGGGAGCTCCAGATTAACTCTTGGCCTCCTTTGCCTATTGGGGGTAGGACTGCTGCAGTTCCTTCTCCTTTGCCCACCATTGCTGCTTTTCCCTGTAATATCCCAGGTTTTGCATCCCTTCTGCAATGTCTGAATAATCTTTATTCCTGCAGCAGTTCCACAGCTGGGTTTGCACTACTTTTTCTTTCCATAGGTTGAGGAAGTCCAGGACTTCTTTCTTAGAACAGGCTGCAGTGTAAGCTTGTCTGATTCCTTGCCCCCACGCTCCCGTTAGCTGCAGCTTTACCTGATGCCTTACCTGTGTGTGAAGGCAGAAAAGGTGGGCCAGTAGGAAGAGAAGCATTTCCAAAACATGCTGAAGATTTTAAAAGGGGGTGGACTTTGATCACTGTGACCTTCAAGCAGCAGAGTTCACAATTGGGACCAGAACAGTGACTGTGGCAGGGAAAGGGTCATTGTGGGATTGTTTCTGGAGGACTGTTTGTACTGGTACAGGTAATGCAGCATCCACACGGGCGTTATACCCATAGAACTGTGCCAGTACAGGATTTATGTTGTTTTGTGGGACGTGATTTAACTTGACTGATAGAAAGCCGGGGTTTTATTGACAGGTCTTAGAATTGAGCATGAATGCACCCAAACATGAGTTAACATAAGGCAAACTTTACTGGTAAAACTTAGTGTAGATCAGGCCTAAATCTCACATAACTTCCTCCAAATATTACACAAACTTATTCTAAGAGACTCCTAAAAGTATTTGCTAAAGAAAATGAGGTTGAGGCCTTTCAAGAAGGCAAACTGATTTTCTAGTCATTTGTTCTTTCTGTATCTTCTGTTGGGTGTGGTACTCACAGACACAAAATATAATCTTTACTTTCCTGCAATAAATTTAAGCCACACTTTAAATTGCCTGTGTCTAATTCCCTTTATGTTACAATTTAGTCTATCACTTTTTTCCCCTAGCTGGATAACTGCCTAATTGTCCATAATCATTCTTCCCTACTGCTTGATTAGATCTATATAGCCATCCATGAGTGAGGGAGATGGAAAGGAACTGAAATTACTCAGAATAAAGTAAATCCATACTATGCGTGAACTACTCAGAACACACCTTGTCTTATTTAATGAGTTATGATTTCATTTTTTTTTGTCCACACTAAAAATTTATTCTAGACATTCCTTTCTTTGGAACTTTATCTTGCAGTCTTTACTCATGCTAGTAAATGTTGGCGATAATGGGACTTCCTGCATGAACAAGGGCTACAGGACTGGGTTCTTAGGGCAGGGGTTCTCAAACTGGAGGTCGTGACCCCTCAGGGGTTGCGAGGTTATTACGTGGGGGGGTCGCGAGCTGTCAGCCTCCATCCCAAACCCTGCTTCACCTCCAGCATTTATAATAGTGTTAAATATTTTAAGAAGTGTTTTTAATTTATAAGAAGGGTCACACTCAGAGGCTTGCTGTGTGAAAAGGGGTCACCAGTACAAAAGTTTGAGAACCACTGCCTTAAGGTATGTCTACACTGTGATTAGACACCTGTGGCTGAACTGTGCCAGCTGACTCAGGGTTCAGGGCTGTGTAATTGCAGTGTAGACATCCAGGCTCAGGCTGGAGCCTGGGCTTTAGGACCTTGTGAAGTAGGAGGGTCCCAGAGCTCAAGCTGGAACATCTACACCCACAGTTAAACAGCCCCACAGCTTGAGCATTGGGATCCTAGTCAGCTGGCACGGGCAGCCGCGGGTGTCTAACTGCTGTGTAGACGTACCCTCAGGGAGCAAGGCTTGTAAAACTTGGCTTATTGTTGCAGAAGGAGTTGCAGTGTAGGAGGGGAAAGGATTTCCTTGGAGATAAACATTTAATGTATGAGTATTGAAGCCTTATTTCCTTTTCTAAAGAAGGGATGATGGGTGCACACATTTCACCACTACGCAGCCCAAACTGAAGTGGGCAGGAGGGTTGAGGCAGATCAGAGATCCCTTGGGACTGCTTTGGCTTGCTCTCCCTGACACCATGTCTGGCAGCAGTAGCGTTATTTAGCCCCTTCATATAGACAGATGTTTTGATCTGACTCTGTCTCTGCCTTAACTCTCCTCTTTGTGGCAGCTGCTCCCTCACCTGCTAAGTATTTTGGATGGAGAGGTGAAGGCTGATTATTGTTGTGTTAGCTGCAAGGAGCCCTGAAAAGGATCCCAATGGTGGCAGTCACTGGGCTATGTTCCTGCTTCCCCCCCCCCCCCCCCCATGCTGCCAGGAGGAAGCCCCAGGGATCTGCTCCGTAGATGTTATAGCAGGAGGCAAAGCTTAAGATTCCCAAGGATTCTATGCCCACAACTTTCTTCCTCATCTTCTCCACCCCCCAATATTTGTTTTTAAAATAATGCTTGTAGCAGACAAAATAAGGTGTGGTGCTTTAGCGATTTTCAAATTATCACACTGGGGAGCAAAATGGAATATATTTGGAAGTACAAGCCTATACAGACTCTGTCTAGACTGAAGCCTACACTGAGCCAAGATTTTACATTTTCCTTGCTTTTGCTGTGTAATTTGACTGAACTCATAGATAACAATGTCTTCTGATAGGGCATTTGATACTCTTGCGAAAGCACTAAACCCAGGAGAGAGTGCAGCATGTCAGAGCTCTGCAGAGACTGTTGAAGCCAATGTACATCTGATTGGTGGAGAAACAAGCATGAATATCGTTGAAATAGAGGGGCCACTTCTCAGCGATGCACATGTAGCTTTCAGGGTATTTTATATGTTTTTAATGTTTTTAACTTATAACCATTAAAACTAATTCCTTAACCATTTTAAAAGTTCAAGAATTTGGTATGTACTGTATTTGTTTATTTGTTTGAATTTCTTAAGGAATAACCATGTGTGCTGAAATACTGTCATTCATGTTCTGAGGAATGCACTGCTTTTGTTCAATGGTTAGCTACTTCTTGTTCAGGAAAATTAACATCCCTCCTGAGTGTTTTTGCAGCACAGTTTATTATATGAACAGCACTGTTTGCTGCAATCTTCTCTGTAGCTTATTTCCCTCAAAATCAGTTTGTAATCCATGCTAGGGGATCTACAGCACTATGTAGTTACAAAAAAACAGAGATTCATAAGTATTACAGGGTGCCATACATACGAACTCTTGACATATGAGCCAAGCATGCAGGATTTAGAACTGAGGCTCTGGACCTCATTTGTGACAGGACTTCTCCTTTGCTTACCTATCTCGCTGCTTTAGGATATTAATTGACTTTAACCATTGTGGTTCTCTTGCCATTTTCCACAACCTTTTTTGGGAGAGGAGCCAAATACTTGGAATTTTTATTTCCACTTTATGAACCTATGGAATTTCCTTCATCTTTTTCCTCTTCAATTCATAGCTACCGCTTGAGCAAATAAAAAGACTACATATATGAACATTTCAATACAGAGCATTGCATTGGACTTTGTCCTCTCCCACCAGCGCACTCTTTGGTCACAAATCTAATGCTAATCCTAGAACACGGTTTCTACGTTTTAAAATAGTTATCTTAGTGAAAACTATTTTAATTCTATTAATTTTATATATATATAGTCAATTATTACTCTCTGGGAATAGAACTACTGCATTATAATTAAATATCCATTTTGGGTCAAATCCTGTTGCCCTTACTCATGCAATAAACCTGTTGACTTCAATGGAACTATGTGTGAGAGTCACTTGGGAGGCGTGGCCATTTATGTTTAATGTGAGCATCTTGTTTACATGAGCAGTGCTAGGCTATCAGGCAGTTTATATATGCTGAATATCAGGTGTAGCATGTTAACATACTAGAATAGTATATTTATTTGTAAAATAGTCATTTTAAAAACTACAAACCAAAGAATTTTTGTAAATATTTCCCCCCCTAAAACTAATAATTTTGGCAATTCCACTAATTTTTCAGGCCATTTATTCTACTCCTCTGGGGCAAGCTATGGAAAGGTATGCTACCTCCCAATTTGTATTTTTTTTTATATATATCTATAGCTATAAGTGTAAGCAATTGCATCAAAATAATCCCGCTGACAGTGTTTCTTCTAAAGTATCAGTTTTCTCAAAAATGTCTCAAAAGATTGCAATGTAATTTACTTGGGATGTTCATACCTAAATTTTTCAAATATATGATCATCTTTATAAAGTGTGGAATTCAAATAAATTTGCCCTGTTTCTTCACTGCTCTGTAATTCTATACAAGTTTAACAATTGTGGCTAATATTGAACAAAGGCAGTCATGCAGTTTATTTCAAGGCTGTATCTCATTCATGTTATTTTAAAAATACACTACTTTCCTTTTTTCCTTGCAAGACATTATGTTAAAGACTAGTTTTTTCTAATTAAAATTTTTAACAAGAAGTAAGATCACTAATTTTACAATTCCTTTTTGCATCAGCTCACCATGCCTTCTCCGATGCCTGAATACCTGAATGTTCATTACATCTGTGAGTCAGCCTCCAGACTACTCTTTTTGTCCATGCACTGGGCACGCTCCATTCCTTCCTTCCAAGCTCTAGGGTGAGTGTTCAAACATTCTTTGATATAATCAATGGACTAAATAGACCATTTGTCCTGGAATATACTCTTATATCAAGGGAACATTGAAAAACATAATCCCAACTATACATACAAAATGATGGGGTCTAAATTAGCTGTTACCATGCAAGAAAGAGATCTTGGAGTCATCGTGGATAGGTCTCTAAAAACATCTACTCTATGTGCACCAGCAGTCAAAAAAGCTAACAATGTTAGGAACCATTAGGAAGGGGATAGATAATAAGATTGAAGCTATCATGCCACCGTATAAATCTGTGGTACACACATATGTAGAATACTACTTGCAGTTCCAGTTTTCCCATCTCAAAAAAGATATACTAGAATTGGAAAAAGTACAGAGAAGGGCAACAAAACTGATTTACTAGTATGGAACAGTTTTCATATGAGGAGAAATTAAAAAGACTTATGTTAGAAAAGAAAGTGCGGGGTGGAGGGGCTATGATAGAGGTCTATAAAATCATGAATATTGTGGAGAAAGTGAATAAGGAAATGTTATTTACCCCTTCACATAACAGAAGAACCCAGGGTCACTGAATGAAATTAATAGGCGATAGGTTTAAAACAAACAAAAGGAAGTACTTCACCATATAAAGGACAGTAAACCTGTGGAATTCATTGCCGGGGATGTTGTGAAGCCAGGGTTCAAAAAAGAATTAGCTAAGTTCATGGATGGTAGGTCCATCAATGGCTATTAGCAAAGATAGTCAAGATGCAACCTCATGCTCTGGGTGTCCATAAACCTCTGACTACTAGAAGCTGGGACTGGACGACAAGAGATGGATCACTGGATAAATTGCCCTGTTCTGTTCATTCCCTCTGAAGCATCTGATACTGATCACCTTGCCAGAGGATAAGATACTGGGCTAGATGGACCATTGGTCTGACCCAGTATGGTCATTCTTACATTCTTGAATTAGGTTTGGATTATTGTAAATTTGTAATTTTAAAAAATCACCTTTATATTGCTTTTTTAAAGATATCCCCGACAATACATCTAAACAATTAAATGAATTTGTTAGAATTGTTGAGTACTCGTCATTAGAAACGTTAAGTGTAAAGTAGGCCTGTTGATTAATCGCAGTTAACTCACGCGATTAACTCAAAAAAATTAACCGCAATTAATTGCAGTTTTAATTGCACTGTTAAACAATAGAATACCAATTGAAATTTATTAAATATTTTGGATGTTTTTCTACATTTTCATATGTATTGTATTCTGTGTTGTAATTGAAATCAAATTGTATATTATTTTTTATTACAAATATTTACACTGTAAAAATGATAAACAAAAGGAATAGTATTTTTCAATTCACCTCATACAAGTACTGTAGTGCAATCTGTCGTGAAAGTGCAACTTACAAATATAGATTTTTTTGTTGTTGCTTCATAACTGCACTCAGAAACAAAACAATGTAAAACTTCAGAGCCTACAAGTCCACTCAGTCCTACTTCTTGTTCAGTCAATTGCTAAGACAAACAAGTTTGTTTACGTTTACAGGAGATAATGCTGCACTCTTCTTATTTACAATGTTACCAGAAAGTGAGAACAGGCATTTGCATGGAACTTTGTAGCTGGCATTGCAAGGTATTTACGTGCCAGATATGCTAAACATTCGTATGTATGCCCCTTCATGCTTTGGCCATCATTCCAGCGGACGTGCTTACATGCTGATGATGCTCGTTAAAAAAATTTGCTAATTAAATTTGTGATTGAACTCCTTGGGGGAGAATTGTATATCCCCTGCTCTGTTTTACCTGAATTCTGCCATCTATTTCATGTTATAGCAATCTTGGATGATGACCCAGCACATGTTGTTCATTTTAAGAACACTTTCAGTGCAGATTTCACAAAATGCAAAGAAGGTACCAATGTGAGATTTCTAAAGATAGCTACAGCACTTGACCCAAGGTTTAAGAATCTGAAGTGCCTTATAATATATGGAGATATACCTATCTCATAGAACTGGAAGGGACCCCAAAAGGTCGTCGAGTCCAGCCCCCTGCCTTCACTAGCAAGACCAAGTGGCCCCCTCAAGGATTGAGCTTACAACCCTGGGTTTAGGAGGCCAATGCTCAAACCACTGAGCTATCCCCTCTCCCCTTCTGAAATCTGAGAGCGACTAGGTGTGGAGCATGCTTTCAGAAGTCTTAAAAGAGCAACACTCTGATGCAGAAACTACAGAACCCGAACCACCAAAAAAGAAAATCAACCTTGTGCAGGTGGCATCTGACTCAGATAATGAAAATGAATATGTATTGGTCTGAACTGCTTTGGATTGTTATCGAGCAGAACCTGTCATCAGCATGGTTGCATGTCCCCTAGAATGGTGGCTGAAGCATGAAGGGACATATGAATCTTTAGCACATCTGGCACGTAATATCTTGCAACACCGGCTACAACAGTGTCATGAGAACACCTATTCTCACTTTCAGGTGACATTGTAAACAAGAAGCGGGCAGCATTATCTCCTGAAAATGTAAACAAATTTGTTTGTCTGAGCAATTGGCTGAACAAGAAGTAGGACTGAGTGGACTTGCAGGCTCTAAAATTTTACATTTATTTTTGAATGCAGTTTTTTTTTTTACATCTGCATTTGTAAGTTCAACTTTCATGATAAAGAGATTGCACTACAGTACTTGTATAAGGTGAATTGAAAAATACTATTTCTTTTGTTTTTTTACAGTGCAAATACTTGTAATCAAAAATAAATGTAAAGTGAGCACTGTACACTTCGTATTCTGTGTTGTAATTGAAATCAATATATTTGAAAATGTAGAAAACATCAAAACTATTTAAATAAATGGTATTCTATTATTGTTTAACAGTGCGATTAATCACGATTAATTTTTTTAATTGCGCAATTAATCGCGATTATTTTTTTTAATTGCTTGACAGCCCTAGTATAAAGTGAAGATCATTGCATTTCATTAGAAAATGAAAACCTAGGTTTGGTTGTTGGCAGAGAACTGAACTTGTCTATGCATATCATCATTTCTTGAATTAGTCACCTTTTAACATCTCATGATTTCCTGTGGTACATGAGTTGCAAGTGGTGAGACTGGACTCAGCCTGCATTTGCAACTGGGATGCGATGGTGATGTGAATTACCAAAGAAAGGTAGAGAGAGGCTGATACACAGCTACCTGTGTGCCTTAGGCATCAGATATTGTTCTCTTTTTGCAAATCAATTATTGGTAATCACTGTACCATTATTAACCTATTCTGGAAGATAGTGAGAAGTATTAGTAACGTTTATCAAACATTGAGAGGTGTGGGTGGGGGGTATTGTAGGGCGTGGCAGTTATCAGAAATAATTTGCCTCTTGCCACTAAAACCAGTTTTTATCATTCTCTTTATATTTTCTTAAGAGCTTGCACTTTGTCCAGCAAAATCCATTAGCTCTCTTAAATTTCTTAGTTCTGATATAGTTCATGTAGTTCTGTATGACATGAGGAAATGCATTTAATTCCAAGACAAAGAGAAACAGCTTGTGTGCACTCTATAACTTTCCTGTCAGGTGTCATTTTATGAGACAGAGTAATTTCAGAACATACTCTTTAAAAAAAAAAAATCAAATGGTTAAAAATACTATAGCTACTATGAGGAAAAAATGGAGAAAATGCAAGTTAACCTTCGCCCATACATAAGTCATATTGGTCTCTGCCCACATCTAAAATGCCTTGGATAAATTCTTTGCGATTAACTTGCATGATGTCTCCATTTCCCCTTTGTGACTAAATCAAATACTGAAACAGCTGTTGACTTTCAACTAAATTTATTTAAAAACACAATCCAACAACATGCCAGCTTTCAGGTTTTTAAAAAAAGGCCTTCAGCCTGCCATTCAGCATCCTCAACACAGGAGCCATTTGAACTTCTGCCACTGCATGTAAATATTGTTTGAAAACTAGTGTAAACCCTGCGCAAATTAATGTGATAGGACATGCATTGAAAATGTAACTAATGATGTCTATCAGCTTGCTTGTGCTAGGGAGGTGTAGAGAGACAAAATGGGTGAGGTAATATCTTTCATTGGACCAACTTACACTGAGCTTTTCTTCATGTCTGGGAAATGTACTCAGAGCGTCATAGCTAAATATAAGGTTGAACAGATTGTTTAGCATAAGTAGTTAAAATACATTTCAAGATGAAGTGGACCGTTAACACCCTTCCAGTCATGGGGAGGAGACATCAGGGGCAGTTGTTAGCCATTTATAGATTGTTGCAATAAGCCATAAATCCAGTGTGTCTATTCGGTAGATGATTTTTAGTGTCCAGCAAAGTTATGAATTTACGCTCCCAGGCTCGTCTTGACCGTGTTGTGCAGGTTTCCTTTGAGGAGGAGGACGGATAAGTCCGGTATGGTGTGATCACTTTGTGAAAAGTGTTCACCCACAGGTGATACAATGTTTTTTCTTTTATCATTTTCCTCCGTGAATTCATTCAAGAGTGTAGTGATTGTCTGGTTTCACCCACATAGTTGTAATTGGGGCATTTAGTGCACTGTATGAGGTACACCACATGTTGTGATAGGCATATGTAGGACCCATGGATTTAGAAAGGTATGTGGGGGTGGGCGTTGATCATTGTTGCAGTGGAGACATGTCTGCAGGTTTTGCATCTGTTCTGGCAGGGTCTGGTGCTACTTTGAGTTGGTGTCCTCTCCTGTCTTTGCTGCTGCTGCTGCTGAGCTTGGAGAGTGGGGGGTTGTTTGAAGACCAGCAGAGGGGTTCAGGAAAGATTTCTTTCAGAATGGGGGTCCCCATCGAGTATGGATTGTAGTTGTTTGATGATACCCCTTATGGGTTCTTGTGTGGGGAGGTAGTTGAGAACTACTAGGTTGGCGCGCAATTGGAGGGTGTTTTATTTCTGTATTGAAGCAAATTCTCTCAGAGTATTTGGTTGGCCAGTTCTGTGATGCAGACTATTAATATTTAGTTCTTTAAAAATAAACCAACTTCTATACAAATGCCACTTTTAACATAAACCTGGGAATTTTAATTCTAACATGCAAATAAAAATATTTTTGATCTGGATTTTGATTTGTTGGAAGTGGTAGTAATGCCTAAACTAGATTAATTGTTACTATTTGTACTGTGCTCTGCAGATGTGAAGCACTCTTTAATTGCAAGTAAACAATTTCAGTAACCAAATTTTTTTGTTCCTTTAAATAGGCAAGATAACAGCATATCATTAGTAAAAGCCTGCTGGAATGAACTTTTTACACTTGGTCTTGCACAGTGTTCACAAGTGATGAATGTGGCAACTATATTAACTGCATTTGTTAATCACCTGCATGGTAGCTTACAGCAAGGTAAGATGCATCCTGCCATTTTTCAGGGTGTAAATGGGGAGTTAATTAACAGCATGAGTTAAAAGTCAGTGCATAATTTTTATACTGTGCAGAAGTTTACTAGTTGTCTGTGAATTGTTAATGGGAATTTATTGTGTACACAATTGAATGGCCACTATTGAAATAATAATATAAAGTCCATGAAAAATGTGGAAAATTTTAGTAAACCTACAGAAGTCAGTCACATTTAGTAATAATAAAAACTGTATTTTAATGTGTCCCCTTCCTTTTCGTTTTCTCTCTCCCTCCCAGAAAATTTATATACAAATAATTGTTCTAATTAAAAATGCAAAGTTCAATAGGATATGCTGAACAACCTCAAGGAAAATATGTGCAGTCAAAATTGACTTGCGTCCTGCATTCAGTCATCAGTCTCTATAAAATTGTGTTGGAAGTCTTGCTGTTTTGTATGGTATAAAGCAAGACTAAATTCTGAGTTTTAGTAGAATTAAGATTTCACAAACTAAACAAACATAGTGGGCAGTGTGTAGCTTATATGATTTGAGAAGTGAAAGAGTAATAAGTTGCAAGTTTTTAGCAGTGAGGGCAATTAATCATTGGAACAGCTTACGAAGGGTTGTGGTTGATTTTCCATCACTGGAAATTTTTAAATCAAGATTGGATGTTTTTCTAACAGATACATACTCTAATTCAAGCACGGCTACTGTTAATTTAAAGAAGGAATTATTAATACATGGATATGCTATTATTTGTGTTATGCAGAAAGTCAGACTAGACAATCACAATGGTCCCTTCTGGCCGTAAGATCTATTACTGTACAAGTCCCATTATGGAAAATCATGTAAAATATGTTCCTAAAACTAGAAGCAGTTTATAGTGTAAGAAACTTTTAGCATATTAATTTGATTCTCCATGTTCCTGGAGACTTCAGTATTTTTTCTTTAGTTGCTTCTTTTCAGTCCTAACTTTAAAATGTACTTGAATTTGACTGAAATGTATTATGGAGAAGGGAAAGGTTACAATATTTTTTTCTCCTTCATGAATTGGGTCTGTAGATTCCCATTGTAGGTATCATGACATAACTCATGATCCATAGAGCTATGCTAGTCAGGGCTCTATTCATAACTGCCACATAATTGTACCTGAGAATTTGTTTTAACACACACATCCTCCAAAAAACAACAACAATCCTTGTGCTAGTGAGGGGGGGGGAAATGCTTCTGAATGTGAACTAGATGCAAACTGATTCTGTGATAGCTGCCAGAGGATGCAGAAGGCCAAAGATAAAAGCTCAAAGATAAATGTGAACTGCCTTCCTTCATTCCGGGTGGTAACACTACAGCCTGACAATATAAAGTCAGTGGAGAAAATCTGAAGGGGAGCACCAAAAATGTTTAAAGGTGTAGAAAACATAACCTATAAAGAAAGATTTTTTTAAAAAAATGGGTTTGTTTAGCCTGGAGAAAAGAAGACTGAGTGAGGGACATGATAACAGTTTTCGAGTATATAAAAGGTTGGTATAAAGAGGAGGCTGATAAATTGTTCTTCTTAATCACTGAAGACAGGACAAGAAATAATGGGCTTAAGTTGCAGCCAGGAAGATTTAGGTTAGACATTAGGAAAAGCTTCCTAATTGTAAGGGTAGTTAAGCACTGGGGCAAATTACCTAGGGAAGTTTGTAGAGGTCTTTAAGAACAGGTTAGACAAACACCTGTTAGGGATGGTCTAGATCAGTGTTTCTCAATGATAGGTCCATGGACCGGTGCCAGTCCCTGAGATTTCCCTGACACAGTTTAGGAAGCCAGAAAGCTGGTCCATGGTATCAAAAAGGTTTAGAAACACTGGTCTAGATAATACCTAGTCCTGTCTCAAGGCGGGAGACTGGATTAGAAGACTTATTGAGGTCCTTTCCAATCTTACATTTCTATGATTCTGTGATAATTATCTAACTGCTGATACTTTTAGCAAAAATATCAAGCTAATTGTCATTTTGGTGCATATTAGTAGATATTGGGGTGGTGTGCAATGAGACTGCTAGTTGCATTCATGGTTTACTGGGAGTGGAAAATGAGAAATTCAAAACACTCCTTTCCCCACATTTTAAGTCACTTCTGCCCCTGCCCAAGATAAGATAAATCCGTCTTTGCAATACAAAAAGCCTTATCTGTCTCCTGGATACCACAGTCAGCAAACATGTTTTGCAATGTTCTGAAAACTGTGTTCCTTCCCCCCACCCTGCGTTCAGCTTCCAAAACCTCTAGGTTTCCCAGGACAACTACTACAGCATAGTTACTCATTGTCAGTACAGAAATCTCATATTCCAGTGATTTCTACCCCGGTGCCACCCCCTCTCATCCCTTGTAATCCTATAAGAGTAACTTTTTTTTACGCCATCTCGTTCATACTGAGTGCTACAGTTTTTTTGCTTGACCCAGTTCTTACCTGGATCTGGTTTCCCCCATCCTAGTCAAGAGATTTGGAGGTTCCTGTTTCTTTTCAAAGCTCTTGCAGTTATGAACTATTCAGCTGATCCTAGCTGATTTAATGTTGTAGGTTTAATGTGCAAATCCCAACAACTTTCACAGCCATGTCACCACCTCATCTTACTCCTATCTGATACTGAGTCTTTGAAGAAAAATTGTTTGTTTCTTGGACTTCACCTGTTGTGTGGGATTAACCCTATGATAGCTCACCTCATAGGTCTTGTAATGTGTGTCTAGAGTGGCAACAGACCCAGTCCAGCAAACTCACCATTCACCAAGGCATTGTCTACATTGAGAATTTTAGGGAAATACCTTCCATTGCTTGGACACAGTGGTAAAAATGCCAGTGGCCAGTCTATATCAGTGCCCCCACAGTTACTAGCACTAGTGGGGCTGCACTGGTGCTAGAGCAACGGTGGAGGATTTCTCTACAATTCTCATTTTTTTGGTGTGGTTTCATCTCTGTTTGAAGCTATACACATACAAGGGTGACTGGTGCAGTCTTTTCAGAAGGCGCTTCAAGCCCTGAAAACAGCTGCTTGACTGGGTCTCTGTCGGTATGGAAAGATCTGTGATGAGACAGTCAGGTCCTAACACTTATAGGAGCTACTTTAGACTCTATGAGAAGACTAGCAATTCTTAAGAACCCACCAATTTCAGTCTTTCTTTTCTTGTTCTGGGAGGTTGGAGGTGACCTTAGGCCTTTAGGTGAGTTGCAGTAACAACAACAAAAGAATAAGGTAAAGAAAGTGAAACCTGAGTTGACTGAATTATTTAATGAGTGGAGATCTCTGGAATGAAGCAAAGCACATCCCCTTCATCTTGCTCCATGGAAGATTACAGCAGAAAAAAGGGAAATTCTTAAGGCTAGAGTTTTCAAAAATTAGTGCCTACGGTTAGGGTCCTAAATGAGAGGCCTGACTCTAAAAATTGCTGTGCATCCAGTGGCCTTCATTGATTTCAGGGGAAGCTGCTAGATACTCACAAATTTTGAAAATCAGGGTATTTACTCAGAAAACCAAATTTAGGCACCAATTTTTGAAAAATTTCCCCCCCAAAAAATTCTTAAAAAGAGATCTTTGCTTTACCTGCAAAAATCTTATATCCCTCAGGGCTGGTCTGCACTACACAGTTAGGTTGACATAAGGCAGCTTATGTTGGCCTAATTATGTCAATGTCTACACTGCAGCCTTCCTCCCACCAATGTAGGTGCTCTACTACAGCAGCATAACAACTCTACCTCCATGAGAGGTGTAAGGCTTATGTCGGTGTAGTTTGAGCCATGCAGTATCTGTGTAGACACTGCATCCCTTACATCGGCTTTCTTGTCAGTTTCAGGGCAGAAGCTGTGAAATTGACAAGAAAGCACCTGCTGCCCTGGAGAGCTGGGCGGCTGGACCCTACTCCCAGCTAGGAGCTGGAGTGAGAAGCCCAGGTGAGCCATGAAATTGACAAGGTTGCCCAGCTCCAGGTGTGTGGGGGGGGGGGGGCTGAGAAACCAGGGCAGCTGGACTCCACTCCCCGATGGCAAGAAGTCCTGGGCGGCTTTCTCCTGCTCCCGGTGGGGAATGGGGCGGGGAGGGACAAGACGCTGCAGGCGACTTTCCCCCGCTCCTGATAGGGCACGGGGAGCAAGGAGGGGGCTTCCCGCAGGGAGCCTGTGGCTCAGTCAGGCTCATGGCAGGGAGCCGCCAGCGAAGCTGAGAGACCGGGCTCTGAGCTCCCCACACTGCCCCTCGTAGGTCAGTGGAAGCGCTCCAGGTGAGGATGTGCACCACTGACCCAAGGAGGGTAGTGTGGACCTGCACCACCACAGTAATTACATGGTGGGTTTGTAGTGTAGACATACCCTCAGAGGTATCAGGTATAAGCCCCTTATATTGAAACATCTTGTTCCATGGTACTTTCTTGTTCAACTCTACTAAAAAAAAAAAAAAATGAACAGGGCTGTAATTGCTTGTGAGATACACATAGCATCTCAGTCTTTGATACTTTGTTCTTCATCACCATTCTATGATTTTTCTATATGTCTAAAAAGAAATAGATTTGCTTTAATTGTTTTACAGTTATAATAGTTAGATTGGGGCTCAAGTTACTTTAATTGTTCTAGCATGGGCCAGGCTCTTGTGGTATTAAACTCATAGACCTCTCCAGAGAATTCCTTATACACCTCTACCCTGATATAACGCGACCCGATATAACACAAATTCGGATATAACGCAGTAAAGCAGCGCTCCGGGGGGGCAGCGGTGCGCGCTCCGGTGGATCAAATTCAATATAACATGGTTTCACCTATAACGCGGTAAGATTTTTTGGCTCCCGAGGACAGCGTTATATCGGGGCAGAGGTGTATTCCTCCTAGTAGTGTTAGCTCTCATACCCCTAAATGGGGCAAGATTTTCAATCCAGATCTTGAATGTTTTGTATGTCTTCACCTAGCCGCTTGGTTTGGATTCCTAAAAATTGACTCATCTCACTTTTTAAAAGGGGAAAGTAATCATGCTACTATCCAAAAAACCTTTCCCAGTGCAGTCATGTATTTAAAATGATAGTTTAGGAATACAGCTAAGACAGGCATGGGGTGGATCGTTTTACAGACTTTGATTCTAGAACATTTGGATCCTAAAATGGAAGAAGTGCCCTTTAATAGATTTGGTGCTGCTAACGCTTCTGTGATGCGTGAGCATGGTACATGACTCTTATGGAGTACATCTGCAGGGGCGTAATACATTCAGGGAATTCCATTTACTAGTATGTAATCTTCTTCCCCCTTCTGGTGATTAATATTTCAGGTGCCAGTCCACCTCTGATCATTGGACTCTTTAGTAGGATTATCAGCCAAATCATGAAGTGTGTTTAAATAATATAATATAATATAACTAATATAATATACATTGGCCTGTAGTTTTTTCCTTCAGAAGAAGAATATGGATTCATATTACCAGCTGTGTGAATCATTTAGAAATCAGATGTAAATTTATCCAGAAAAATCCATTCTGCAATTTTTTCTACTAATCTAGATAAGCTGTCTACAGATAGAGGAAAACTAGTGATGGAGCATATCTTCAAACTGCAAGAGTTCTGTAACAGTATGGTTAAGCTTTGCCTAGATGGGTATGAATATGCTTATCTGAAAGCAATCGTCCTCTTCAGTCCTGGTATGTAATTATTTTTAACTTAAAATTTTGTTCTTTTCTGTGACAATTAAGATGTGAGTATTTACAGTGTATTTAAAAGTTATTGTATTTTCCAAAATTCAAGCTTTCAGTTAAGGTGTGGGAGAGAGTAATTTTGTATGCAAGTTCATGCATTTCTGACATTTTAGTTCTATAGCTGCAACAAATGTGTGAACCTGTTTTTATTTTAATTAGGTGCTAATTTAAAATCTGAACGTTCTCCTTCTCCCAGTCTACCAAAGGTTCCATCTTCACTGAGAATTTTAGGTATTTCTCCCAAAGTTGCTGTAGCACCAGTGCAGCTCAGCCATTGCTAGCAACGCTAGAAATGATAAGGCAGATTGACCAATGGTTTTTACCATCGTGTTCTCTAATTCTGCTCCTTGAGAATCAGTTGGAGGGGGGAGAGACTGGAAGGAAGGAAGACTTAGGAGCCAGTTTGGCAGTTGGGGGGTGACATCAGATAAGTAGGTGAGGGGGCAGGCAGGACTAGGAGATTGGGACAAAAAGCCTTTGAGGGAGGGAGACTGAGACAGGATTGGGTGACACAGAGATCAGATGAGGAGCTTGGGAGCGAGGGTGAGGAGAGGGGTGTGTATTAAAAGAATGTTTTAAGGTTGCAAAGTCAAGCATTCAAAAGTTAGAAAATGCGAGAATCATGGTTGCCTGTGCAACCTTGATTTAGCTGCCTTGTGCATATGTATTATGATACAGTCTAATTATATGATCACGTACTATTTTTTCCACAGGACACCTGCCGCATTCAGTGCACAGGGTGGACCTGCTCTGGGGATGATTCAGTGTTGTGTAGTAAAGGATACTGTTGTCTGTAGGACTCCATTTGTTGTGGAAGTTGGAATTGATGTAGTGAATGAGGCAGGGGATAGCAGGAAGAGAAAGGATAGTTTCATGGTTAAGGATGTTGAATGCTGTCCTAGAGAATGGGATTCTATCCCTGCTTCTGTCGGAGTTCCAGTGTGGTGGTAGACAAGTCATTTAGACCAAACTTTTCACAGTTTGTCACTAATTGTGTGTTCCTTATTTTCTGGAGGCCCAAAATGAGACCATAGGGCCTGATTTGTGGAAGTACTGATCACTCTCAGCTGCCACAGAAGACAACAGAAGGTGTTCTTTGAATGTATAAACTGCTATATAATGCTTTGAAAAATCAGATCCTAGATACGTCAAATGGGCATTCAAAATTAGTGGATACTTCTGACCTTAATCATTCTGTTCCTCAGTACCCCATGTGTAAAATAGGGGGTAACACCACTCCCTCATTTCGCAGGGAGGCTGTGAAATTAAATTAAATTAATGTTTGTGAAATACTCAGATAATATAGTGATTAGCAACATAGAAAACCTCATGAAGAAATAAGTAATTGTGTATTCAGAGCCAGGGTTTGAATAGTGTGCAGTAAGTAAGGGGGGGAGGAGAGGAAGTGGCACACATTGAAAAATGAGGATGAAATAAAATATTGAGTTGCTATCATATTCACTGTTTGAGGCAGAGGTTCTGTGGAAATAATGTTTGATCATGTAATTAAACATTGTATCATACTAGATACACAGAAGGGGGCCAAATTAACCTTAATTCTGGCTTTTCCTAACTTTTGAGTGCTTGACTTTGCTACTTTAACATTCTTTTAATGTAGTCATTTGTGTGTAATTTGATTTACACCAAGATACTATCTCTTGAACCCAGGATTTTCATCCATCGTTTACAGATCCAAAGATTTATAATAAAAAAGAAAACAACAAAAATTGCTATATGGAAACATGATCTGCCAGGTATTTTTCTGTATTTAGAGCAGTTTTTTACTCTGTTTGCTGAGCAAGTCTGCAGTCTGCTCATTTTTCTCATAAATGTTCTAAAAGCAACAATAACAAGTATGTCTTCTCATTGCTCTACCTTTTCTGAAGCTGATGTCCAACAGAGGTGAATTTTAAAAAGTCACTAAATCCCCTCTGTCAGTAGTATCATAATTTTAGCATCTATGCTAATAGCATCGTAATTTGTATCCTCTATTTGCATACTATTTCGGTGATAGTGAAGGCTTTGTTTTATTTCAATAGATTGTGAGTCTTGAGGAATAGAAGGCAGCTGCTGTGTAGCCTTTACTATGCCGTATCTATGAATATAGACAATAAAGGCAACAGTAAAAATACAGTGGTTATATCTGTCATACAGTACCTCATTATATATTATTTAAACACCAGGAATTCATTATACTTAACCATTCATCACTCAGACTGGAAAACATCCTATTTTCATGTTAAGGTTTTTCCATTGTCTTCAGCCTATCACACCCAACACTAAATACACACACAAACAGGAACTGGAACACTGAGTTCAGGAACCAGGAAACAAACAGGAACTGGAGGTAATAAACAGGAAGGCCCCCCACTACCTCCCCTCCACACCAATCATCATACTGTGCCTCTACATTCTTCATGACATTACCTATACAGAGCCCCAGTGTAGGAGTCACATGCCTAATCATGGAAGCTTTTCAGACAGCAGATGGCAGTTATGGGATGCACTCAATTTCCTCAAGCCCAACGTTCCACAGACCGCACGTATAAATATCCTCCCTCTTCAGATTCCACAGTCTGCCACCTGGAGCAGTGACAGAGCCAAACTCTTCCTTTTCTCTTATACATGCAAATCTAGTTGTAAATAGTTGCATTGTCAGATTAGGTTTAAGGGTTTTTTTCACTTGTCATTTTTTTTTTTAAATATATATTAGATCTCCTTCAGCCTTACTTACAATGGGAGGCCCATCTAAAAGAATGGGATTTAAAAGAGATTCCTCTTATCTCACAAAGTTCTGTACTTCAGATAGGCATGAAAAGGTCCCAAAGTACCATAAGATTGTACTCTAGAATCTGCTGCTTGCAAGAGGCTTTGGTAATGCAAGAGTCTGATAGACCTTCCCCTAAAGTCTTCCCAGGCACAAGTAATATGGACAATAAGCCTTCCTTAGTGCTAGTGCCTGCCATAAAATCCCAGGCTGATGAAGCACATTCCCCCAGCTAAAGACCTGAATTCTTCAGATGGAGCCAAAGAAGGCACATCTTCTGGCACTGGTCATTCTAAAAAGCTGTACTGTGAGAGAAAGAGGTGCTCTGACAAGGATCCCACAATGAATCTGCTCCAGGTTGTCATATGGAGGAGCCATCGTTGGATCCATGGTTCCTGCCTTTTCCAAGATTGGTGCTGTAGATTTCCTGGAACTGAGAAAACCAGGTACTTTCCCAGTCTGCTGCAGCTCCACCTCAAAGGGGAACTTGGTTTAGGTACAGGAAAACTTTTGGAACCTCAGTTGTCAGCCTGGACAGTTCCAAAATTAAAATTTTACCCAGTTGTCATCCATACATGTACTGGGTACCTGGGGCTTTTGGTCCTGTGGTTCCCTTCCTCCTTAAGTGGCCTCTGTGATGAGATGATGGAAGACCAACATCTTCCCGTCCCCCCACCCCTCCTAAAGGAAGCCTTCTCCTACAAAGAAGGTGACGGCCTCTTCAGAGGTCCCTGGGATTCCTCTACTTTAAACCTTCAAGAGCGGTAGTTGTACCTGATTTGAAATCAGATGCATTCTCTCTGAGGAGCAGGAACTGGTGAGGCAGTCCTAGGAATTCCTCTTCTGTAAGTTATGCCAAGGCCTTTCAGGATTTGGTGGGTAGAATGGCTGTGATATCGGTATTCCACTGGCAGTTTTGTCTAACAAGCCACATACATTTTTTGAAATCCTGGAGTACAAAGAGAAAAAAACAGTCCTCCTTGTCAGTGAGCTGGTTAAAGAGGTCTGGAATCACTCTTCCTCTGCTGCTTCTGCCTCAAGGAAGCCAGATTCCTTATACCAGGTTACCAGTGTGAGTGTCAATTATTTTTCCAATATTTTACTCTGGGCCAGTTGTGAATTCTGCTGTAAATGACAAATCTAGAGCTGGGACAGTGTCATCAAAACATGGGCACAGAGAGACCAAATTACTAGAGTTATGGCCAGATAAGATGTTTTGTTCTAGTCCAGAGCTGTTACTTGGACCCAGTATGTTCCCGAAACCAAGGAATTTCTGGTCTTATACCAGAAAGGCTAGTTGTCCAAAAATTCTCTCGAGGCTTCATTTGATATCATGGACACTACAGCCAGGTCTTCGGCTATGGCTGTCATGTTGAAGAGATATTTCGGGCTCAGGAATGGTGGTACCAGCAAACACAGAGACAATCTGGGAAGCCTTTTGTTTTCAGAAGAGAGAAAAGGTGTTCTTTTCTGCCTCAGTAGTTTCATCTACTGGTGGCGCTGCATGTAAGCAGCAAGTTTGAGGATGTGCCAGAGAGCCCTGGGTGAGTTTCAGGGGACCCAAGTCCTCATCCTTCTTCCTCTTCTACCCCAGTCTTTTAGGATTCTTTGTTCCAATATTTACAGGCATGACAGGCCATTTCTTCATGTAGCTGAGTCCTAAAGATCATTGAAAGGGGTACTCCTTGGAGTTCATAGCGTCACAAAACTTGGTCTACCTTCTATTTCCTTTTTTTTTTTTTTTTTTAACCCCTCTCATGAAAAACTAGTGGGAGAAAAGGACATATTGGAAATGGAAGGCACACTGGAAGAAAGGTACCAGAAAGAAGTTCCAAAAGTAAAGGCCTACCCTATTTTGAGCTCTTTATATTGAACAGATACCGAAGGAAAGTAAAATTATCTGTTTTCTCAAGGGAGCATAATCCCTGCTCAAGAACTTCGAGGCTGATTTGTGTCCTTGATATTTAATATGCTTGCTTTTACATTCAGATAACCACAAGAAGTACCTCAGTTTTGTGAGAGGTTCAGCAATTGCCCCCATGGTATTCACCAAGTGCTTGATGGTATCTGCAACTCATCTGACTCATCAGAAGTCTTCCTATGGGCACAACTGGCTCATAAGAGCCTAGTCTTACAGAGGGATAGTTCATGCCTTGTGGTAGACTTGCTTCTCTATCCAAAAATTATTCATTCACTCTCCTTGTGTTGATATATCTTGCTCCAACAGAGCAACAAGGTGATGCAAAGATGCCTCAACAGCCTTTACTTGACAGCATGACTGCTAGGTTTTAGGACAGGATGTTTTGTCCTTGTCTGAAGAGATCAAGGCAGTGGGAGTCTAGAAAACATTTCACTAGGAAGTTTTACACTGTAAAGTGGAACAGGTTTTAAAAGTTTGCTCAAATGTCAAAGGCTTGACCTAGTTTCCTGTGTGTTTCCAGTTACTTTCTCCTGACACTTGTGTTGTCAGAAGTATCCCTGGAAGTCTTTTCTAACTGGAAAGGAATGTTCATCCAGTCAAGTTATGAACTAGCTGATGTTTGTGCCTTCAGTGTCTCAAGGCTAACTGACCTAGTGGGAATGTATTACAATATGCCCCTATCTGAAATCTGTATGGCTGCTACATGGAGTTCAATTCATATGTTCACAAATGGCTTTTCTTTCCACATGGTATCAAGAATACACGTTAGTATCAGCAGGGCAGTGCTTTAGTCATTGTTGAACTAGCAGAGTGCCTCAGCCTGCCTTTTTAGGGATATCATTACTAGCTAACCTCCTATAGTTGGGCTCTGAAAGTAATGTCATGAAGGAGAAAAAAGAAGTTACTTCCAGCAGTAACTCGTGTTCTCAAAACCCGTTTCCTCTACGCAATCACACTTGACCTTCCCTTCTGCTCTTTACTTTGGAACCATGCTTTATAGATGGCTTATGGAGTTAAGAAATTGAGGGATTATTAGACAGGAAAGGATGTTTATACCATTGATCTATGAAATATTGGGTTTGAGGGAATTGTAGCACCTTCCAACCCAATCCGAACCTGATGGCACCTGATTACAAGTGTCGGGTTCAGACTGGGTATAAAAACAACCTGATGCTCTCTGGGTTGGCTCAGGTCATCTCCGATCACCTCTTCCTGCCTGTGGAGTTGGTGCAGTGGTGGCTGTGTGCCCTACTTGTGCTGGTTGCTGTCACCTCACTCCACAGCACGCACAGGAGAGTGAGGCAACAGCGGCTGACAGGAGTGGGGCATGCAGCTGCCGCTGCACTGATCTCGGAGGCAGGAGGTAGCTGCAGATGAATCGCAGGCACAGGGCAAGGGACGCAGAAAGCGCACAGCATGCCAAGCTCACAGGACAAGGCATCAGCACTGACTCAGGTTCGGGGGGAACTGGCCACCCTTCAGGTGTGCAGAGCTGAACCAGTGCGGGGAGCAGACAATGGGCTGGGAGGAATTGGTCTGCAGAAGGGGGAGAGGGACTGGGGGGCAATTAGCTCCAGCAGTTTCAGAGAAGAAATAAAGTAAAGAAAATGGAGTCTGGAATGGCAGCTAGACTCCCTGTAATGTTTAAGCACTGAACTGTCAACATCAGAATAATGCTGCTATGTTCTGTTGCAACACAGTAACTGGAGCCAAGATCAAATGTGAATGAGATTATGTAAATAGTTTTACACGTGGCGAGAACTGCATTTGCTTGGACTACTAGAGCAGTTTAATATATTCATCTGAGCAACTTAAATGAAATAGATCTCTGTCATCTAAGAAAAGAATCCAAATAAGGGGAGGTGCCCAGCATCAAAATTGTCAGAAAACACCCAGAAGTTGCTATAGTAGCAAAGTAATTAATTGGATGGTTGCCCCAGCTGGGCTTTGTTGTTTTTGTTTTGTGCATCTTATCCAGAGCAGGTATAACCATATACATTGTGTTTCAGATCACCCAGGTCTAGAAAATGTGATACAGATTGAAAAGTTTCAAGAAAAGGCTTACATGGAGTTCCAAGATTATGTAACAAAAGCATATCCAGATGATACCTACAGGTATGTAAATTACACCTCTACCTCGATATAACACTGTCCTCGGGAGCCAAAAAATCTTACCGCGTTATAGGTGAAATCGCGTTATAATTGAACTTGCTTTGATCCACCGGAGTGCGCAGCCCCGCCCCCCCTCCCCCCGGAGCACTGCTTTACCGTGTTCTATCCAAATTCGTGTTATATCGGGTCGCCTTATATCGAGGTAGCGATGTATATACATCACGTGCTTGATTTTTCTTTCATTTCTTTTCTTCAGAGCTTCAGTTATTTTGATTTGAGAAGTATTTCATTTTAAGAAATGTGAGAATCAATTAAGTGAAAAGTGTTGAAAAACCTTAGTCCCGCTCTTAGTCACTATATGTGTATGACTTTATTGTTACGTCCAATAATTTTCAAAATAACAGTGCATTTTACATTTAAAAGTTAAACTTTATGAAAATGTATTTAAATTTTTTAAATTGTACTTACCTGACTCTTTGAAGCCAGTTCTTCCATTTTTTTTTTTTTTTTTTTTTTTTTTTTATGCCTTAGCAGGTTGTGCAAGCTACATATATTGAAATGCCTATTAATATCTGTTTGCGCTAATGTCAAAGATGTGACTGGTTATAAATTAAATACTGGATTAATTTAAAACTTGATCTGTCTTCCATACCTACAAAAGCTTAATACTAGACCTCGTAAGAGCTGAGCTTTTATTGAACCATGACCAAAAGTGTAATCCTTTTGTAATTTTTTTTCGTATTGATAACTGGATAACATCAAAAGGAAGCCTCGCTTTGCCTACTAAACTATAATTCTCTTTTGCCAAACCTGTTTTTCAGGCTATCTAGGCTTCTTCTCCGATTGCCTGCCCTCAGACTGATGAGTGCCACCATCACAGAAGAGTTGTTCTTTGCAGGACTGATTGGAAATGTTCAGATTGACAGCATCATCCCATATATCCTAAGAATGGAGACAGCAGACTACAACTCTCAAATTATTGGTCATTCTGTATAAAGGTGGAAAACAAGGATTCTATGCCGTGGTGACGTAAATGTACATCACCATGGCAGTCATGGCATACTGTCTCCAAGAGATGGCAAGAAGCCTTCCCCGGCAACTTTTAAAAATGTAAAGAAGGCTAAAATTCCTCCTTTCCTGTACATTTGTGAAATGCTGCAGAGTGTCTTGAGGGATACAGGATGACTTCCTGTTTTCATCTGGTTTTCAAGGACTTGTAAATTATCTGGCATTTAATGAAAATCAAAAATTGTCCACTGTATTTTTGTAGATAGATGAACCTGGAATTTTGTTTATGAAGTCCAAAACGAATAGGAAAATCCAGCCTGGTGAAGAAGAGTGTTGACTGAATTAAGGTGTCACTACTTAATTTTAGAAAAAAATAAATAAACCTTCTTCTCTGAGTTGTGTTTTCAGTGTTTTGCTATAATTCATTCTCACTGATACAATGGAACGTGATGGTCAGAAATCCTAAAAAGGTAAAAATATTTCAATTGAAGTGAGACCTTTGTAATCAACTTCATTTTTCTTTCAGCTACTTTGAAAGGAGCTGAAGTTCTTGTTTTATGAAGCAGTTGGTACCATGAAAAGGGCAGGGAAATAATAGAAAGCACGCAGATTTTTTTTAATATTCTGTTGATACCTCGATGCAGCAGATCATAGTCCACCTCCATTATTGGCAATAAGATTGATGCTATTCTGGATGTCAAGAGTTTAATATGTTCTAGTGTTGTGTATTGGCAGATACTAGCTATTTGTATTATACAGTGGGAAACTGACTAAGAATAAACTATTTTCCAAAATAGTTTATTACTATATCAGATTTCTGTTGTATTTTTCTAACTAAATAAGTTTCTAGTACTGATTGAGCCTAGAGTACACGTTGTTCTGTGCCTGGTGGGCCATCATTCTTCTATTTATCATGACCTGAGGCCCTATAATGCAGGTTCTTCTGTTCTCTCCACCACATTCTCTCCCTCCCCCAAGGTTTGAATAAATCTTTTCACTTTTTGTAATATAAATTCATGCTTCTGATCAGGAGCTGAGTTTTCTTAGTAGGGGTAATCTTAAACAATAAAACAGATAACTGAATAAAGGGATTTTTATTTTTATATTCATTTTGTTCATTTACCAGCATTTATTTTAACTGTTGCAGTTATTATTGCACTTTGGTGTCTTATGGGCTTTTTTAAGGAGTGAAGCTTGCTTTGAAGTTTACTGCTGCTCAGATAAATGTACCAGCGTTAATGAGTTTCAGCTCAAGCTCATAACTTTTTTGTCTAAACAGACACATTTTTCTGATCAACAGTGTCCACAGATTCTCACATCATTGCCATTCTGATTGTTTTCGGTTTCATGCTGTTGAATAGCTTCTGCTGTCTTCAGTTAAATTTTTCTGAGCTATGTTGATGTTGGATAGAAGGCTGGCCAATTTCTTTCCTATTTTGTTACAGTCCGGTAACATCAGTTGACCTACTACTGAAAATTAAACTCTGAAAATTACTACATCATGGGCATTAAAGGTATTTTTAAAAATTCTCTAGCTTGACAAGTTTTTTGGGGATGTCCCCCACAACACCTACTTTATTTATTTTCAGCATTCAGTCTTCGCCAATCTAACTAGTTTGCATCTAGTCAAGACTTGTCAATCTATGGTCTTTACCAGACAATAAAGAATGGCCTCTTTGCCAGTTGAAGGATAAAATTATTTGCAACAGGTTTATAACTTTTGATTTAAGGAAAAAATTGATTTTTAGTATAAACAGTTTGAATGGAAAAGTGAATAGTTTTGTACATTTCAATTAAAGATGGGAGCACTGTTCTAAATAATGAACTGAGTAGTTCAAAATAATTTTTTCTTAAAAATATTTATTGTACAGTGTGCTAGATTGTTTCTTACTGGTATATTTCCTGGTACAGCTTATAGTTACATTTTGAATAGTTTCAAAAGAACTTCATTGTAATGTCAACTGCATTACAAACCAATCCTGTCCTCTTAGTACATTTGTTCTGTGTCCCCTCTCTTCAGTGTCACTGAAAGTCATTTGTTTGCTCATTCCATCCCACATCTACATCTTACTGGTAGTTCAGTTTTAATATAAGCATCAGAATGTCGCAGTGATTGTCTTGCTGTTGTATAAAAGCTACTGTAAATGTCTTGAAACCTGACTAAAATTGTAAATTCTATTTTGGCTGTATTTTTTAAAATAAATTGTAACTTTTTATTATAGAATAACAATTGCAATTACCTATCAATTTGTAGTATTTTATATGAATCGATACATAGACTGTGACAGTGTATTCAATTTCTTATAGGTTGTCTGGGTACACTATTGTTGTGCAATGTAATATTGTCAATAAGAAGACATTGGGACAATGCTAGTAGTTTGGTATTTCTAACTTTGCCATTAACACTTAGTTTCTCTAGCTGTTAGCTTATGAGTTTGCATACATAATACATCTGATAATTTATTGTAAAACTTTGACTAAGCAGTATCCTTTGCTTTTAAAGCACTATACATTGATAATTATAGAAACGTGCCATTATGAGTTCTGGTAATGGTTGTTCATGTCACAAATTATAATTTATATTTCAGGATGTTTATTCAATGCCATCAGAACTAAAAGACTGGTGAATCAGTTTTGGATAAGAAGTAGGACATTGCTGGATTGGAAGATTTTTTTGGTTTGTTTAAGAATGTATTACAAATTACAGCAGCAATTCTGATTTTGGTCTTGGTTTTATCTCAGTTTTAAGTGTTCAAGGATACAATAGTTCTTGGAGAAATCATTAAAACACTGAAGGTCGTTCCATATTTACCATTGTGGAATTGGCCTCTGGATCCATCTCTTGTTACAGAATTTAGCTTCTCACTGGTAGCTTAAATATTTAAAAAATTAAACGTCTATTTCATTGCAACCAAAAGACAATCTTCTGAATGTAACTAATGTGGTGTCCACAAGAGCGTGCTGGTAACCTGAAACAATAGCCCAAGGGAACGAATTGCCATTTATTTTGGGGAGTGTTAAGTCTGAAATATAGTTATGACAATGTAAGTATCAAAGCTACCTGTTTTGCTGCCTGTCATCTTTGCAGAAACATCCAGTTAATGTGTTTATTCCTCATTTGTTGGGAACAATGGTGGATGTTGGCATTTGAGTGGTTGCAAATTTGCCTGATTGCAAGAGGAGGGAATAAGGAATCTTCCCCCAAAAACAAAATTAAATCTGTGTCTCACTCTGGCCCCAGTGCCCACCTGATCTCAACCCCTGCTGCCAGGTCCTGTTCCCCATCCCTGCCAATCTCTATACGTTATCTTTCAACTCTGCTTCCTAATCCATTTTCCCTCACACAGCTTTGTGCTCACCCAAGAAGGGAAGAAATGAGTCTGGAGAGGAGCTTTAGGGAAGAGAGTGATCCTCTGGTGAATCATAGGAAGCTTGTTGGAGTGCAGCTTCTCTCCAGCTTTTTCTCCCCTGGCATATTTCCTCCCTCAGCAGAAACTCCACAGTTTCTTCCATGAGATGGTCTGTGTCACACACATCCACTCTCCCTCTGTACCTCCCCTATTTATTCCTACTCCCCCTATGACTTCCCAAAATATTTTCTACATCCTCCCCATCACATGCACCCTGCTTTCTCCATGAGCTCACTCCTGTTTCTCTAATACAATACACACACAGCCCACACCAAGCCATGAATGCCTCTGGACAACTCTCATCCCGCCTCTGTGACCTTCCTCATACAGCCCTGCTTCCCCTAACCCCAAGCACTCAAATGCAAAGCCCTAGCCTCAACCTCATATTTGTTAATTTACAAATAACACATCACAGACTTTTTCACTACATGCGTGCCCATAAGAAATACTTGGTTGTCTGCAGTTAAGGTTTTGCGTTTCAATGTAATTGTGAGATACTGGATGTGTGCATTGTGGCGTGATTCTGTGGTGGAATTGAAAAGGTGTCTGCTGTACATCTCTGGAATTTGTTGTTATGCTTGAGTATTCTAATGTTTGGGTAATGTTGAAGTTGAAGATGCTGTGGCTGTTGATACTGGCTTAACTAGCAATTGTTCTGATTTTTAGTGATTGGGTTGTTAGTAAAGGTTGCTCAAATTAACTTCCTAAATTAACTAGGAGTGTGGGGATGGGGTGAGAGGTAATTAGTACAGCTCATTTCATTTATAGCAGAACACATGAATTGAGTATAGGGATTCTCCTTGTTAAATATTCTGAAGCCTTCAGATAGTTGGAGTTTTGGATAATTGAGAGAGCCAAACTGCCAGGCCCGAAAGCCTATCTTCATACCAGCTCCCATAATTAGAAATTATCTGATTATATGATTAGATTAGCAAGACACGGTGGTTGAGGTAATATCTTTTATTGGACTTACTTCTGTTGGAGAGAGAGAGAGCTTTCAAGCCAGACAGAGCTCTTCTTCAGGTCTGGAAAAGATACTCCGAGCACCACAGGTAAATGCAGGGTGGAACAGATTGTTTTAGGATCGCCAACTTTCTAATGCCTGAAAACCAGACCCGCTGGCCTGCCTCTTCCCACAAGGCCCTCCTCCTGCTCTGCTTCTTCCCTGGCTCACTCCTCTTCCTTCCCTTCTCCCCCTGTCATTCTCTGCTCTCCCTTCCTCCTTGCTGGATCCTCTCCACCTCCCTCCCCCACCAGCTGGGCTCCCTCCAGTCAGCGCCTGCTGCCTCCTGCTCAGGAGATGCAGGTATGAGGTGGCCCCAGCTGAGCAGGGGTAGTGCGGGTTTATGACCTGTTGCCTCTTCCCCTCCCCCCCCACCCCTCACCAGTACATCTGACCAGACACTGCCAGGTCCCCTTTTCAGCTGGAGTTGTGGAACACCAGATACCTGGCAGCCATAGATTGTTTAACACTAGTAGTTTAGCATGTATTCTAAGGGACCATTCAGGGTAGAGTGGAGCTTAACACCTCTGCAGTCATAGGACAAAAAGGAGGGGAGGGTTGTGGGTTACAGATATTTGTAATAAGCCCTAAATCCATTGTGTCCGTTCAGTCCATGAATTTTAGTGTCTAGCAGAATTATGAAATTTAGCTCCCAGGCTTGTCTTTTGAAAACCTCAAAGGAAACTGCCACAACGCTTTAAAAAATGAGCCCCCCCCCCCGAACCCTGCAGCTGAAACCCACCCCCAGAGCCCTGCAGCTGAAGCAAGGGAGGAGCCAAAGCTCACCCCCAGAGCCCCGCAGCTGAAGCGGTGGGGGGGAGGGTGAAACCTGCTGCTGGAGCCTCTGGCTGAACCAGGGGAGGGGGGCTGAAGCCCACCCCTGTAGTCCTGCAGCTGAAGATGGGGGGGGCTGAAGCCCTCCCCCAGAGTCCCTGGGCATTGCAGAGAGGGGCCACTGCTTTGCCGCTTCCCCCATCTCAGCCCAGGAGGCTGTCATGGCTGCAGAAAAACCTGGTGGCCACATTTGAGAAACACATCTGTTCCATTCTGCGTTTACCTGTGGTGCTCGGAGTATCTTTCCCAGACCCGAAGAAGAGCTCTGTGTGGCTTGAAAGTTTCTCTCTCTCACCAACAGAAGTTAGGCTATGTCTACACTGCACTTTTGTCGGTCAGGGTGTGAAAAAAATAAAACACCCCGACCGACAAAAGTTTTACTGACGAAAAGTGCCAGTGTGGACAGTACTTTATTGTCGGGAGGCGCTCTCCCTCTGACAAAGCCCCTCATTGGAGTTGGTTTTATTTTGTCAGCAGAAGAGCGCTCTCCTGCCGACAAAGAGCAGGTACGTTGCATACCTTACAACGGCACAGTTGTCCCACCGAAAGGTGTGCAGTGTAGACATAGCCTTAGTATAATACAAAATATTACCCCACCCATCTTGTCTCTTTAATATCCTGGAACCAACATGGCAACAATTACACTGCATACAACATATTAGATTGGCAGGCAACCCCAAAACTGCTAACTGCAGCTTCTATTGTGAAAAGGTTAGATGCTCCACAGGACTGAAGCTCGTTCCCTGTGGAGCTGCTTAGAAGTTGTGCCCTACTAAACTGCACAAGAGCTCTGAGATCTAACCATGAAAAACAGTGAAACTGTGTGTCTCTTTCATGTTGAGGCTAGTGGAGTTCTCGTATTGGAAAGTGAGGGCAATGGGGCAGAGTTCTGTTTTGAATTGGAACCTTAAGAATTTCCAGACGACCTGACATATGATTTTAGAGCTATCAGTTAAGTATTAATTCTAATTTTTCAAATGTTTATTTTTAACATAAAATCCAAATTTTCTGACTTTCAAACAATTGTGTGTTTAACTACAACATTCCAATTATGTTTGGAATTAATGACTGTATTAAAAAACAACTATCTGAATGCAGTTTTTGGCATGGAAATAGATTTATGTTGAATGATGCCTACATATAAAGGGATTGTGTAGCTTTAATTCATGTTTGTAAAAGTACATTGAGATCTTTGGATTAAAGCTACTGTAATTTCAAAGTGTTACTTGTAGAGTTCTTTGAGTTCCTATCTCCCACAGGTGAACCCTTCTTTTAGATCTAATGTGCCAGCACATTTGTATAAAATAGGTTTGGAAATATAATCAAAAGTGATCTGTTTTAATTTAAATTTGCATGTATATTTGTTTAACCACTGCAACAAGTAAAAGATGCATTGTATATTTCTTTCATGTACTGGGCTCTTCCACCCTATTATTTTTGAGTGTCATTTGCAGAAATTGTTTCTCACCACCATAGCAGCAAGGGAGAAAGTGCTGTGTCTGCTAGCATCTGTGATGAGTTTAAAAACACAGTCCTGTCAGTTCCGTTGTTAAACATTCATATAGAAATAAAGGGGTCACCTGTAAATATTTCTACAGTGACAACTGATTCTACTTCTCAGAAGCCTTAGATCCAGGTTTATGAATAACACAGAGTTTGGGGAGACTGTGTCTTTCCAGGAAAAAAATATTTTTAGGTTTTTACATTTTTTTTTAACTTCTGTGTCACTCAAATACTTACATGAACATATTTGAAAGGTTTTTTTTTAGATACTAGAAACATTACACTTTAATTTCAATCTTTGAATGAATCCACTTAACTTTTTAAAATAGAGACAAATGACAAGAACATCAAAGTTCTTCTTGTGTCGGTTGGGAAACCATGTGAAAACTGCAGAACTGTCTTAAAACCCTATAGGAAAAGTAGAATGGGTGGAGTCATTTGTTTGGAGAAATGGCCAAGGTTAATGAGTGGAATTAACTGCCGTAGGATATTGAAGAGAGAAATGAGGGGAGTTGTGATGTTTATAAGGGACTTGGTTCACTAGACTTGTGAACGTTCAAGAGGGTGGGCAGGACATGTGATAATGTCTTACTTTTCAGTCTTCAGTGTGTTTGAAGATAGTTGTTTCTCAGTCTAACCAGTAAATATTAAAGCTACTGATTAATACTGCAAAAGAGACTTTAGTGATTGCCAGATATCACAATGAGAATTTATCTGATTTAATGTGCCTAAAGTTAGTGGTAGGAAGTAAATAATAGAATGGGCGAAAATAATGAAAAGTTATTTTAAAATAAAATGTAAATATTATCTAGGGTGACCAGATGTCCCGATTTTATAGGGAGAGTCCCGATTTTGGGGGCTTTTTCTTATATAGGCACCTATTACCCCCCACCCGTCCCGATTTTTTACACTTGCTGTCTGGTAACCCCATTGTTATCTAGCATTGTTCAGCAGCAACAGAGAATCTCAAAAAAGTGAAGAAAATTTAATTTACTTATTATTTTCTAGATCAAATGTGCCACTGCATAAAATGCCATTTCAGTGGAAGAGCAGAACACAAAGGATCATGTGTGACTTTTTTCATGGGATTAGTCATAAAGGCATGGTAATAACTTAAATCCATATTCCAGGCTCTCATGGAGCGCATCATCTGTTTCATTCAGAAGTATCTGTTTGAAAAATATTCCTACTTAATGCAATTGATTCTACATCTGAAAACAAAACCACAGGCTATTGTGTCCAGTTTGCTGAAGATACCATTCAAGAATGCTGAGAAAATTATGACAAGTTCTTTGCCATTTGGTCAGACAATAAAACAAAACAAAAAAAGGGAATTTAAGTGCAATTATCATAACATTCTGAGGTACTGGTGTTTGGTATACTATTTAAACCTTGTTGAAAAAGGTAATACCTAACAGTTGTAGAGCACATTGCAGAAGTTCAAAATTTCTTCCAGAACCACCATCAGCCTTACAGTTGGTTTACGGACAAGGGAGCATTGATACTCCAGATTTCCAAAGACTGTGTACTGGCATTTGCATTCAGCTACCTTAAATATGCTGAAATTTGCACTGAGCACAGGAGGATTTTGAGCAAAATAATACCATGCATTTTTCATACTCTGGACAGGCATTAAAATTACCAACAATTTAAGGAGGTTTTGGATTAGAGAGATTACAAACAGATAATGCTAGCACAGTCTCTAGAAATTTGATTTGATCTGATTAAAAAGAAAGAACTAGCACAAAGAAAAAATTAAAATATGATTTAAAGAAGGTATAGGACCTTTTTGCTGCTTGATCCCAAAAACAAAGGTCAAAGGCAAGAATAGGAGCAAGAGGCTGAAATGTTGCTGGTGGCATGTCAATCTGAGTTCGAGTATTTAAAATTGGAGATCCAGATTTGTATCCCAAATCTGGTTGTGAAGGAGGTTGTGTCACAGTTTGTTGTATCAAAATGGTGGAGAATTGTAAACATAAAATTACAGAAGATAAAACACTCCAGAATGTTAATTTTAACAAGACCTACATTCCTGCCCAGTTAGTTTACAATTAACTGAGCATACTTTTAATACATTCAGATTGTTTGATGAACGCTTCATAGGAGGCTTAAATCTAAAAATGCAAATAATTTTATATAAGTGTATTAGTGTCTATGGGAACAAACAAGAATATGGATCTCTAGTTAGTGGAGTGGGCTCTTCAGTGCTGTGTTCATTTTTCAGAATCGGAAGCATAAATTTTGACAATATTTAATCTTTTTGTTTCAGGAATCACTATGCTTATAAACTAAGGCTTTGTCTACACCAACACTTTTGTTAGCAAAACTTTTGTCGGTCAGGGGTCTGAAAAAAACACCCCTGACCGACATACATTTCACCAACAAGAGCGCCAGTGTAGACAGTGCTATGTCCAGCAGGAGACACTCTCCCGCCGACATAGCTCTCCCGCCAGCATAATTAAACCACCCCCCAACAAGCAGTGGTAGTTATCTCCCGCCAGCATAGAGCAGCTACATAGGAGAGCTTACAGCCATGCAGCTGCAGAGGTACAACTGTGCCACTGTAAGGTCCATAGTGTAGACATAGGTCTTGGATCTGCTGGCACTGTGGGGAGAGGAGGCTGTGCAGACCTTTGAT